CTCCACTTGGTTGTGATGTATTATGATTTTTATATGTCACCAGATTTAATTTGCTAATATTTTGTTTAGGATTCCTACATCTGTGTTCAAGAGAGATCATCAATTGTCCTTCCTTGTACGGCTCCTGTCAGACTTTTTCTGATTTTTGTTTGTTTGTTTTTTAAGTCTTTGCTCTTGTCAGGTTTTAATATCAATGTTAGGGCACCTGGGTGGCTCAGTCGGTTAAGCATCCGACTCTTGATTTTGGCTCAGGTCATGATCTCACAGTTTGTGGGATCGAGCCCCGTGTCAGGCTCTGCACTGAGAGTGCAGAGTCTGCTTGGGATTCTCTCTCTGTCCTCACTCAAAATAAATAAATAAATAAACGTTTAAAACATATATCAATGTTATTCTGGTCCTGTAAAATGATTGGAAAGTATTCCTTTAATTCTGTTCTTTGGAATAGTTTGTGTAAGTTTGGCATTTCTTCTCTAAATGTTCGGAAGAGTTCACAGTGAAGCTATCTGGGTTGGAATTCTTCCTAAGATTTTTAATAATGGGATTTACTTTTTTTGATACAAGATTATTCAGCTTGCATTTCTTTCATCAGTTGTGAAAAATCTTTATCTCAAGGAATTTGTCTATTTCAACAAAATTGTGAAGTATAGTGGCATAAAGTTGTGTATACTATCCTCATTATTTCTTAATGTCTTAGGATCTATTCTGATGGCTTCTTTTTCCTTCATGTTGGTAACTTGTGTGTTCTCTCTTTTTTTCTTGACAATGTTGCTAAGAGTTTATCAGTTTCATTAAGCTTTTTTAAAAGTAAACTTTTGCTTTGTTGACTTCTCTACTCTAAGTTAGTTTTCTATTTCATTGATACATACTCATATCTTTATTCCTGTACTTTCTTTGGGTTTGATTTACTATTCTTTTACCTTTTTGAGATGGAAGCTTAGATCATTGATTTTAGCTTTTTGTCTTTTTTAACATTGGCACTTAAGGCTGCACATTTCCTCTGAGCACTGCCTTAACTGTTTCCCACAAGTTTTGATTTGTCATATCTTAATTATCACTAAAAAATATCCATGGCCATTTCATTTTTGACTTATGCAGACGTGCATTGCTTGATTTCTGAGACGTTCAAGTTATTATAGTTTTCTTTTTGTTATTGGCTTCTAGTTTAATTCCAGTGTAGTCAGAGAACCTATTCTGCATTACTTCAATGCATTGAAATTTATTGAGGCTTGCTTTTTGACCTTTCATATATATTTGATTTGGGTAAATGTTTCATGTGCATTTGAAAAAATGTTTCTTTTACCATTGTTAGGTACAGTGTTCTGTTAGTCAGTTGTGATATTCAGATCTTCTAGATCATTATTGATACTTTAATGTGCTTTTGTAGCTTGATGAAAGATTTGTTAAAGCATTAAAGTCTCCCATTTTGGTTGTGGATTTTTATATTTTTAATTCAGTCAATTTTTAAAATATATTTTGAAGTGATGTTAATGGAGACATATAGATTTTAAATTTATATCTTGGTGAATGAAGAACAGTATATTTATATGTATATATTTCCTTCTCTTCCTTTACTTAAAAGTCCATTAACGTATCCTTTGCCTAATGATTTTTGTTTTTAACGTCTGTGCTGCTAAGTGAAAAGTCATTAATTGGAAAAACTATTTCCATCAATTTCATTGGAAAAACTGTGGTTCATTCCATCTAGCTCAATATACCCAAACAGTTTTTACTGATGGAAAAATTTATTAGCTGGACGATAAAACAAGTTTATACCAAAAAAATTAATTTGAATATAAAATATAATTTACATATACAACTTACTGTAATAAAAGTTTACTGTCCTCATTAAGAGAGGAAATGAAGACTTAATGATGAGTAGTGGAGGATAATTGTGAGGGAGTCATTATTGAGAAGGTACATTTCTCATTCACCATTTCTTCACTGTTTCTTCAGTCTTTTGGGTACTCGTGGTTATCTTGCATTCAAACTACCTTTAAAAATAAAGTTATAGCACATTGGGGCACCTGGGTGGCTCAGTCGGTTAAGCGTCCAACTTTGGCTTAGGTCATGATCTTGTGGTTCACGAGTTCAAGCCCAACATCGGGGTCTGTGCTGACAGCTCTGAGCCTGGAACCTGCTTTGGATTCTGTGTCTCCCTCTCTCTCTGACCCTTCCCTACTCACGCTCTGTCTCTCTCTCTGTCTCTGTCTCTCTCTCTCAAAAAGAAATAAACATTAAAAAAATGTTTAAATATAGTTATAGCACAAAAAATACATTGAGGGAAAATAAATGCTAAACCTGAAAGCACTTCAAAATACATGGCATAGTTTGTACATTTTAACAGACTGCAGATCACAGAAGCTACTACCCCTTCAGGCGTCTCAGTTGGCTTGTACATGCTAAACAAGACATTTTGAATTTATCCAAACAAGATGAGCAGTTCACGTTTGTTTCCTATGAATTGTGGGGCTAAAAACTGCTTTACTAAGTAAATTAGTGAGTATTTTTTTGCATGAATGTGTGATGTCAGAACATCATTCTTATGGCATGTTTATGTAGTATATTTAGGAATGAAAAAGTCATTATACCATCATTAAAAAAGAGTGTTTTCCAAAAAGCTTTTTTTCCCCCAAAACGTTGTTCATTGAACAGTAATTGAACAGATAAGTTCTGTACACTCAACTTCACCTTGCCCTTTTTCTCTGTAAATATACATTAGAGTTTTTACGGTGGAGTATCATAGTCAGGACATACTTTTAAAATTCTCTCTGGCAGTTGATATGGGGAGGTTGTATCCAGAGGGACAAGACTTGGAAAAGAAAGGTCAGGAGACTAATGAACATATCCAAGCGGGAGACAATGTGGTCAGTAGGGCAGAACTGAGTCCCAGCTGAGGCCCAAATGCATATGAGAATTCTGAGAATGATAAAGGTGATACTGCAGATCTGTGGGGATAAGACGAGCCATTCAAGGAAAAATGTTGAGACAATTTCAATTGTGGGGAGAAAGAGTAAAAGCTGGATCCCTCTTTCACTCTGTACACAAAAAATAGAGTGCAGATCAATCAAAGATTCAAGCGTAAGAAGTGAAACAAAACCCCCCAAAATACAGACAAAAACATGAGTGAACTTAAAAAAAATAATCTCTGAATGGGGAAGCATGACATAAAACTGAAGAGTCATAAAAGAAAAATAACTTGACTACGTATAAATTCTAGATGTGGGAAAAGATACCTACATCAAATAGCTAAGTGTGAAGTATTATCTTGAACACATTGGTAATTTTTTTTGATTCAAAACGCTCTTGCAAATTAATAAGAAAGCAATATTTCCTACAAATGGATAATGTATATGAATAGGCAGTAAACAACTTAAAATAAGAGACTCGACCTCATTCAGAACTAAAAAAGATATTTTGGAACAAAATGATAAAAGAAACTCTTTCAAAACAAGGATGGTCTGCACACACCTCAAGCAGTGCTGTGAGGAAACAGGCCTCCTCCTCTTCTGTTGTTGTGGTATGGATTGGCACAACCTCTGAGGTTGGGGGCAATCTGTGAATATCAGTTTTTCCCCAAAACTTTTTAGTGAAAAATTTCAAGTATACAGAAAAGTTGAAATAATTGTACGGTGGAAAACTATATGCCACACTTAGATTTTACAGTTGTCAACATTTTGTTATATTTGCAACATCACACAGACACATATGTAAACATATATCTATATATCCATCTGCATATATCCATCTATCCATCCATCAAGCCACGTTACATTTTGATGCATTTTTTTTTTCAACGTTTATTTATTTTTGGGACAGAGAGAGACAGAGCATGAACGGGGGAGGGGCAGAGAGAGAGGGAGACACAGAATCGGAAACTGGCTCCAGGCTCTGAGCCATCAGCCCAGAGCCCGACGCGGGGCTCGAACTCACGGACCACGAGATCGTGAGATCGTGACCTGGCTGAAGTCGGACGCTTAACCGACTGCGCCACCCAGGCGCCCCCATTTTGATGCATTCCAAAGTAAATTGCGGAGGTGGGTACACTTCATCCCTAAATGCTTCAGCATACATATCAACCAGAGGTCAATGTTTGTTGCTCGTTCTTTTTTGAGGGAAAATTTATATTCGGTGAAAGTCACAAGTTTTAAGTTGACCATTCAGTGTGTTTTTGGCAAACGCACACACCTTTGTCATCCAAGTTCTTATCAAGACCTAGGGTGTTTCCATAAGCCTACAGAGTTTCTTCCTGTCCCTTCCCAGTTAAGCCACATCCCTTTACCCCCAGGGAATATTTTTTATTATAGATTAGCTTTGCTGGTTCTAGAACATCATGTAAATGGAATTAGACAGTACTCTTTTATGTAAAGCTTCTTTCAGTCAGCATAATGATTTTTGTGATTCACCCATCTTGTCGTGTGTGTCAATCGCTCATTTCTTTGTACTCCTGAGTAGTATTCCATTGTGTGACTCTACAAGTTAGCTTATCCCTTCCCCCGTTGATGGACATTTGGGTTGTTTCCACTTGGGAACTATTACAAGTAAAGCTTCTGTAAACATTCTTGTACATGTTTGAGGACATGTTTTCTCCTGGGTCATCTGATGGGGCCTCCTAGACAGAATGTATGTATATCCTAGCCCTAGGGCTCATAGTCTATTTGAACTTTGGTACAAGACACTGTCATGAGTATATGCTATCTGACAGGTACAGAAAGTGCACAGTGGGAGGTGTGAGAAGGTGGGAAGTACTTCTAGGAGAGAACCAGGGAAGGCTTGCTGGAGGAGGGGCCTTGGTGCTGACATAGTAGGAGGATCAGGAGCTCTGGGTCAGACATGCCTACACTCCTGTCCTATTCCCATAGGGAAAAGGTCCTGGGGAATCTCATTTTTCTCATCTGTAAAATGGGGATGATGACACCACCAGATGTGACAGAATGATGGGAGTCAAAGGGCCAGCCATGGCTTTAACAGGCATCTCTTAAATGTCCCTCTGTTCTCCACAGGCCTTGTTCCTCTGGTGGCCTTCAATGTGGATGTGGCCCGGACCTGGGTGACTCCTGAGGGAGGCGTACCCTATGTGCTCAACGCCCTTCTGCACCAAGACTCCAGCACCAACCGGACCTGGTGAGCAGGGCCCGGCAGATGGGAGGCATAATTGAGGGGGCCTCTGGGGAGCCTGAAAAAGCTGCCGAGGAGGCCTTGGCGTCCCTCCCCCAGTTTGGGGACAACCTCCCTTCGCCTACAGAGGGTGTGCAGGAGAGAGGCTGTGAGCACCAGGCCAATCCTTGCCCTCTTCACTGCCGGGGGTGGGAGAATGACCTCAAAACTAGTTTAAAATAAAATTTCTTAAGGCTCTTTTATCTCTTACAGAAGTAACACATGCTCAGTATATAAACTTTGGACAGTGACAAAAATATCAAAGAAAAAATGGAAAATACGAGGCAGCAGGGAACGTGGTTCAGGGGCAGGCTGTGAATCTCAGCCATGGGTCAGTGACAACTTTTCTCTGTATTTGTAGCAAGGTGCTCAACCCATAGCCTCAGTTTCTTATCTTTACGGGGGTAGAGATTTCTCTACCTTACAGGGTTGTTGCAAAGACTATTTGCATTAATGCACATAAAGGGTTTAGCACAGTTTCTGGCCGAAATCAAGCTCACTAAACATTGCTTTATGTTTCTTAAAATCTCATCTACACCCACCCAGTAGATAAGCCGCCAATTTTAAACGTGACAAAATTCTACTGGTGAGGATGTGGGGACGTGTGGGACTGTAAATTGATATAACCAACCTGGAGAATAGTTTTACCATATCTGGTAATGTTGAAGATGCCTTTGACCCGGCCATTCCACTCACAGACACCAACCTTAAAGATACGAATGGGCACATGTAAAGGTATTTATCGTAGCATTTCTTGGAGTAGTGAAAGACTGGAAATGTTCCTCATTAGGAAAATGGAAGAAATAAGTTATGAATCATATACAAGGCAATATTAGACGTAGCTCAAATGAATGAAATGAGCATAGTGGTTGAATCAATCCTGAAACATAAGATAAAAAAAGGCAAGTTGTGGGATTATATATACCGTGGTCATTTAGTCAGCAAATATTCGTATGGAGCACCTACTATGTGCCAAGCCCTCAAGAGGCCCTGAAGGCTCACAGCAGTGAGCAAAGTAGACAAAAATTCTTTGGCTCAGGGAAGATAGACAATAAGCAAGCAAGCAAAATACGTGTCGTATCGGATGGTGATAGTGGTGAGATGGTAATGTAGAAGCATGTCTTTAGTTTTTTCCCTTATTGTCACCACAATGACCTTTAGAGCTGCTTTGTTTTGAAGCCAGGATCCAGTCAAGGTTCCCGTGTCACATACTGTTGTGTCTCTTTATTCTCTTTTAATCTAGGGCAATTTTTCCTTTCCTTTTTGTTCATGATGGTTATATGGCTTTCTCTGTGCTTGCTCTGTGACCCAGCCATGCTCATGCCCTGCCTCAGGCGAGTCCCTTCCCCCTCCCCTCTGCTTTGCTTCTAGTCATTGGTCAAGGGTTTCCTTCTTGCACAGCACACATGAACCTTGAGCCTCGCATCTAGATGGGCTTGGGGCAGAGCCAGATGAGGTGCTCAAGGTTTCTGGCTGAGCAGAGCTCCCCATCTTCCTGAGCTGAGCAGAGCAGAAGCTCTGTTTGGTGGAGCGTGGGTGGGCAGTAGCAACTCTTGAGGTAGCCTTATAGCCCTTGGGACAGGGCCATGACCCTGCCAGCCTAGCAGGCTTGGACCCCTTGCTGGACTGTAGTTTCCTCATTGTACAGCGAAGAGGCTGGTGACCATGTAAATGGTGAAGGCAGGGACACTTTGTTCGTTCATTCATTCATTCATTCATTCAGCAAGTATTTATGGAGCATCTACTCAATGACAGGCCAAGTGTGAGGATAAGATAGTGAAACAGGCATAGTCCCTGCTCTCATGGAACTCCCTGGCTCCTGGAGGAGACAGACAAGGCAGGCAGTGACAAGGGGTGTGATGGCTGCTCTGGTGGAGATGTCCAGGACGCTTTGGAGACACAGAGGCAGGCGTACCCTTCAGCCACAGGGTGTGCATCAACACTGGGACCGAGGGGATGAGTAGGAATTAGTGTGAGAAGGCAGGGGAGGGGGATATCCCAACTGACAGCAGTGTGGCCGGAAGCCTGGAAATTAGCCTGAGCAAAGTCAAGGAACAGAAAATGGCAGGTGGTTGAAGCTGAGTGTAATGAGCATTAGGTTGGGAGAAGTGGGTAGTGCCTTGTTACCTGGGCATCAAGGGTTTGAGGAGCCAGAAAGCTTTGAAGCAGGGAGGGGAGGTGAGAAGGTTGTTAGCAAGTTTTTGGCTGCAGGGAGATGAATTAAAGGTTGCTGTTTGTTGTCTTTTGTTTTGGTAAAATTTTATGGACATTTGCCACACAGAAGAATGCACCCATCATAAGCCTGTAGCCCAGTGAATGTTGGCAAAGTGAACCACCTGTGTAAGTAGCACCCAGATGAAGAAGCAGAACATTACCAGCCTCACCTAAGCCCTCTCTAGACTGGTGCTCCCTTCCAGGCACATCCCCTGCCAAGAGCTAACCAGTGCTCTGACCTCCATCTCCCTGGATTAGTTTTGCCTGTTCTTGAACTTATAAACGAGGTGTGCCGTATGTGGTCTCTTATGTCAGGCTCCTCTCCCTCAATATACAGTCTGTGAATTTTGAATGTGGTATTGCCTGAGACAGTGATACTTATTCTCATTGGTAGAGTTTTCCATCATGTGAACGGTGCTGATGATGAGCGTTTGGCCAGTTTCCTTGGACAAATTTTGCTGCTGTGCACTTTCTTTCAAGAGGCAGGTGTACTTCCTTTTATCAGGCATTATACGCACTGGGCCAACATTCAGTTTTGCGAACTTGCAGTGCACGAGCGTTCTGGTTGCTCCATATGTTCGTGAAGGTCAGGAGTCAGTCCCAGTTATCTGTGACCATCTTTTGCCCATTCCCCTCCCACCAGTACCTCAGCAGGGCCCTGCCTCTTAGAAGCCAAGCTGAGAGGACATGGTGGATGAGAGGAGCTTGAAGCTCCTGGAGCAGAAGGCTCTGAGTCCACCCCGGGGTTGCAGGAAGAGCCCAGTTGGGTTCATGAAAACCTCCCTGAATACCTGCTGAAGAGAGGGCTCATGGGAGGATGTGGTGGGAGGCACTTCTTGGTTCCTGCCACAAATGGTGAAGCCTAAGACCACGGGCTTGTGCAGGGCAGGAAATGCACTGCTGGCTGCCCCAGGGCCACAGAAAGCAGCCAGAAAGCCCTGTGAGAGGGTGGCATGTACCTCTCACTCCCTTGTCCTGTTTCTCCTTAAAATATAACAGCCAGGGCTCATCGCATCATGGGTTTGGTTGCTGTAGGGTGAGATGAGTGGAACATAAAGAAGGCCTTCCACACCTGAAAATAATATAACATTGTATGTTAATTGTACTTCAATAAAAATGCAAATAAAACCATAAAAAGCAAACTAAAAAAAAAAAAAAAACATGATAAAACTTGGAAAAAAAAAAAAAAAAAGAAGGCCTTCCCCTGCGAGGTATGGGAATAGACTCTGAACAGGTTGGAGGCGGGTCAAGGCAGGAAATGGACTGCTTCCAGCCCAGCATATAATAGGGTCCCTGAGGCTGTGAGCTGATGATAGTTTGATTATTGTTTAGTTAGTCAATCATTCAGTCAACAAACCTGGAGATCAAGAGACTACCCACCATGGAAGGGGGGGCGGGGATTAAATGGAAGACAACAGAGGCAGCTCATACTGGGCCCCAGGCCACAGCACTTCATGACTGTGACATGAATGGCAACCTTGCACAGCCCGGACAGCTGCATATGGTAGTCTCTTGGGAACTCACAGTCTAGGTGAGTATGGAAGTGGGTTCCAGTAGTCAAGGCTACCTGGAGGGCTTGGAGGGGGTCAAGTTGCTCCTTTTGGGAAGGCTTCCTGAGGAGCTGGTGTTTAGAATGATTTTGGCAGGAAAAGGAGGTGGGAAGGAATTATAGGCAAAGGAAATAGCTTGGGTAACAGCATGAAGGAGGAAGGAAAGCCGAAGCTATTCCAGGCCTGGACTTACCCCACCAAAACATGATCTGGGGTGGAGACTAGTTCTGAGCCCATCTTTGTTGGAGACAAGGGATGAGGTGTTGGATGGAGGGCTGTGGCTCAGGCTGCGGAAGGGTCTGGAGCAGAGACAGGGTTGCTGAGCAGGTGACCTATTTTGGGAGCTCAGCTGCAGAGCCCACAGAGCTCATTTACACCTGCCCTCCGCTCTTCAGCCCTGGCCCACATTAGCCCCCTTACCTGCTGCCTGGGCTGTCATTCAGTCTTCATTTAACCATATTTACCGAGCCCTAGCTCTGTCCCAGGCATTCTTCCATGCCCTGGAAATACCATGGTGAACAAGGTAGACATGATCCTTGAGGAACTTACAGTCTAGTAGGGGAGACAGATAACAAGCACACAAGCAAGGAAAGAGGATATTATCAGACATGATGACAAGTTCTGAAAAGGAAATAAAACAGGGTGACATGAAACAGTAGCTATGTTGTGAGGTGGGGCTGGCTGGAGACAGCATTTATCAGGAAGTGACAGTTAAGCAGAGCCAGGGGGATGAAAGTGACCCAGCCTTGGGGAGTGAAAGGCAGGGTTTCCAGGCAAAGGACACAGCAAGGCAGAGGGCTTGAGGTAGGAAAGAACTGGGGCTGTGAAGGAACAGAAACCATCTGGAGCTGGAGCTTGGAGAGCAAAGGAGACGGGAGGGGAGGTCTCAGAGCAGGGAGGGGTCAGACTGCAAGGCCCTGTGGGCTGTATCCAGGAGTATGGACTCTTTCTAAGCACATGGGAGGCTACTGAAGCAGGGGAGTGACAGGGTGTAAACTACAAGGGTAAGTTTCAAAAACAAATGCTACCAGTCAGGAGGCTATTACCATAGACCAGGCAAGATGGTGGTGGCCAGGATGGTGATGGGAAATGGAGAGAAGAGATGCTCCATAGATAATAGTTTGGAGGAAGGATCCCCACAGGGTTTACTGATGGACTTGATGCAGGGATGAGTGAAAAGATGAAGCAAAGATGCCCTCAGGATTCAGGCTTTAGAATGTAGTGGTTGGTTTTACCGTCTATTAATAGCCTTGGGGAAGATGGAGAAACACAGGCTTGGGAGGACAAGACCCCAAGCTCAGTTTGAACATTCTAAAGTTTGAGATGCCTGTTAGACAGTGGGGGGTTGGTTATTGTGTTTGTTTCTTGTTGCTGCTGTAACAACTACAAAATTTATGGCTTAAAACAACACAAATATATTGTCTCACAGTTCTGGAGGTCAGAAATCCAAAATGGGTCTTAATGGGCTAAAATCAAGGTGTTAGCAGGGCTGTGTTTCTTCTGGTGGCTCAAGGGGAGAATCTGTTTCCTCACCGTTTTCAGTTTCTGGAGGCTACCTGCATTCTTTGGCTTTTGGCCTCTTCCTCCATCTTGAAAATCAGCAGTGTCGCATCTTCAGATCTTTCTCTGACTCTGACCCTCTTGCCTCCATCTTATAAGGACCCTTGTGATTACATGGGGTCTACCTGGATAATCCAGGATTATTTCCTTCATCTCAAGATCCTTAACTTAATTAAGTCTACAACATCCCTTTACCCATAAAAAGCACAGTCACAGGTTCTGGGGATTCGGACATGGACATCTGTGGTGGGGGCATTATTCTATTTCTTACAGCTATGCTGGTCTGACTTCTGGTGGAGGGATTCTTTGGCCACAGAAGTTCAGCATTTATAGGTGTATTGAAGCCATGGGATTGGAGGGGATCACTAGGGAGAATGTGCTGGCAAGGAAAACAAGGACCAAACCCCAAGGTTCCAACAACATTTAGAAGTTAGACAGTGAAGAAGCCAACAAGAGTCTCAGAAGGAGTATTGAGAGAGTTAGGGGAAAATCAAGAAGAAAGTGTTTCAAGGAGGAGATGGTCACATGTCCAGGGCTGCTGAGAGGTTGAAGAAGATGAGGACGGAAAGGTGTCCATTGGATTTGGCAAGGTGGAGACCACTGATGACCTTGACAAGAGCTTGTGGAATCAGCTTGGGGTGGGTTAAACGAGGGTTGGGGGCACAGGTATAGGCTTTATTATTATTATTATTATTATTATTATTATTAATCCATGGAGGTAAGTAAATGATCTATTTTATAATTACAATAGAGTGATGGGAAGCAAGGAAGTAGAGATGGTACCTCATTCCTGCCACCCGATTCACCATAGCTACATCTTGACCTTTTTGAAAGTACAGACTAATCCCCTTTATCAAGTCCTCCATGACTCCCTTACTGCCCTCAGCACAAAGATCTTGGACGTAGTTCACTATTACCAAGCCCAGCCTCAGGGCCACTTCCTCAATACCCCCTACTCAAAAGCCCTGTTTTGAGGTAAACCAGTTATCCCTGGGCAGCGTGGATAGGGAGATTGCTTAGGCTAACACTGGACTCTGCTGTCTCTCTGGGCTTGGGGTAAGGGATAAAGTTTGCCATTGGAACTATTTCTGGAGGCTGCTTTAATGAGGCTGAGGTACTCACCCCTCAAACCTCCATTTCTTTCTTTTCTAAAAAAAATTCAAGTTAGTTAACATACAGTGTAGTCTTGGCTTCAGGAGTGGAACCCAGTGATTCATCTTTTACATATGACACCCAGTGCTCATCCCCAAAAATGCCCTCCTTAATGCCCATCACCCATTTAACCCATACCCCCACCCACCTCCCCTCCAGCAGCCCTCAGTTCTCTGTATTTAAGAGTCTCTTATGGTGGAGTGTGTGGGTGGCTCAGTTGGTTAAGCGTCCCACTTTGGCTCATAGTTCATGGGTTTGAACCCCACATCAGGCGCTGTGCTCACAGCACAGAGCCTGGAGCCTGCTTCAAGTTCTGTGTCTCCCTCTCTCTCTGCCCCTCCCCTGCTCATGCATGCATGTGCTCTCGCTCTCTCTCAAAAATAAAGATTAAAAAAAATTTTTTTTAAGAAGAGTCTCTTATGGTCTGCCTCCCTCTCTGTTTTTTTTTTCTTATTTTTCCTTCCCTTCCCTTATGTTCATCTATTGAGTTTCTCAAATCCCAAATATGAGTGAAATCATATATCTGTCTTTCTCTGACTGACTTATTTCACTAGCATAATACCTTCTAGTTCCATTCACGTTGTTGCAAATGGCAAGATTTCATTCTTTTTGATCACTGAGAAGTATTCTGTTATATATATATATATATATGTATATATATATATATATACACACATATATATGTATATATATGTATATATATGTATATATATATATATACACACTACGTCTTCTTACTCCAATCATCAGTCAGTGGACATTTGGGCTCTTTCCACAACTTGATTATGGTTGATAGTGCTGCTATAAACATTGGGGTGCAGGTGCCCCTTCAAATCAGCATTTTTGTATCCTTTGGATAAATACCTAGTAGTGCAATTGCTGGGTCGTGGGGTAGCTCTATTTTTAACTTTTTGAGGAACCTCTATACTGTTTTCCACAGTGGCTGCACCAGTTTGCATTCCCACCAAAGCGTAAAAGGGTTCCCCTTTCTCGGCATCCTCACCAATATCTGTTGTTTCCCGAGTTGTTCATTTTAGCCATTCTGACAGGTGTGAAGCGAGATCTCATTGTGGTTTTGATTTGTATTTCCCTGATGATGAGTGATGTTGAGCATCTTTTCGTGTGTCTGTGAGCCATGTAGATGTCTTCTTTGGAAAAGTGTCTATTGATGTCTCTTGCCCATTTCTTCACTGGATTATTTATTTTTTGGGTGTTGAGTTTGGTAAGTTCCTTATAGATTTTGGATACTAACCCTTTAATCTGATATGTAATTTGCAAATATCTTCTCTCATTCTATTGGTTGCCTTTTATTTCATTGATTGTCACCTTTGCTGTGCAGAAGCTTTTTATCTTGATGATGTCCCAATAGTTCACTTTTGCTTTTATTTCCCTTGCCTCCAGAGATATGTCAAGTAGGAAGTCACTGCAGCTGAGATCAAAGAGGTTTTTGCTTGTTTTCTCTTGTAGGATTTTGATGGTTTCCTGTCTCACATTTAGGTCTTTTATTCATTTTGATTTATTGTTGTGTATGGTGAAAATGGTCCAGGTTTATTCTTCTGCATGTCACTGTCCAGTTTTCCCAGCACCATTTGCTGAAGAGACTGCTTTTTTTCATTGGATACTCTTTCTTGCTTTGTCAAAGATTAGCTAGCCATATATTTGTGGGTCAATCTCTGGGTCTTCTATTCTGTTCCATTGATCTATGTATCTGTTTTTGTGCCAGTACCATACTGTCTTGATGATTATAGCTTTGTAATGTAGCTAAAAAGTCCAGACTTGTGATGCTTCCAGCTTTGGTTTTCTTTTTCAACATTACATGGCTATTCTGGGTCTTTTCTCATTCCACACAAATTTTGGGATTGTTTGTTCTAGCTCTGTGAAGAATGTTGGTATTATTTTGATAGGGATTGCATTGAATGTGTGGATTTCCTTGGGTAATATTGACATTTTAACAATATTTGTTCTTCCAATCCATGAGCACAGAATGTTTTTCCATTTCTTTGTGTTTTCTTTACTTTCTTTTATACGTATTCTGTAGTTTTCAATGTATAGATCTTTTACCTCTTTGGTTAGGCTTATTCTTAGGTATCTTATGGTTTTTGGTGCAATTGTAAATGAGATCAGTTCCTTGATATCTCTTTCTGCTACTTCATTATTGGTGTAAAGAAATGCAACTAATTTCTGTATATCGTTTTTATATCCTGCGACATTGCTGAATTCATGTATCAGCTCTAGCAGTTTTTTGGTGGTCTTTCAGATTTCCCATGTAGAGTATCATGTCATCTGTGAAGAGTGAGAATTTGACTTATTCCTTGCCAATTTGGATGCCTTTTATTTCTTTTTGTTGTCTGATTGCTGAGGCTAGGACTTCCAATGCTATATTGAACAACAGTAGTGAGAGTGGACATCCCTGTCATGTTCCTGACCTTAGGGGGAGAGCTCTCAGTTTTTTCCCATCAAGAATGATGTTATCTGTAGGCCTTTCATATATGGTTTTTATGATATTAAGGTATGTTCTTTCTGTCTCCACTTTCTTGAGGGTTTTTATCAAGAAAAGATGCTGTATTTTGTTATATCCTTTTTTTGCATCTATTGAAAGGATCATATGGTTCTTATCCTTTCTTTTATTAATGTGGTGTATCACATTGATCGATTTGTAAATATTGAATCAGCCCTGCAGCCCAGGAATAAATCCAACTTGATCATGGTGAATAATTCTTTTGATGTACTATTGAATTTGCTGCTGAGAATTTTTTGCATCCAGGTTCATCAGGGATATTGGCCTGTAATTCTCCTTTTTAGTGGGGTCTTTGACTGGTTTGGGAATCAAGGCAATGCTGGCTTCATAGAATGAGTTTGGAATCAAACCTCCATTTCTGACTGACCCATTGCATAGCAGTGCCAGGATGCTATTCTCAAGAAATACCATCACTGAGGCCAGGTGGGTCAGTTCCCCTGGTAGCCACTAGGAAGCCAGCAGTGCCCCTGACAGAACCAGCTGTTCTGTTGATGGCTTCCTAGCATCTACCCACCCCCTCCCCAAAAAGCGGAGAGTCTTTATTTACCATCAATACCACTCCCATTTCTGTCAGGGTAGGTCAGCAGGCAGAGAGCAGATGCATTTAACTATTTCTCCCCTGGAGCTATGTAAATGTAAATGCTGAGCAAATGCTTTTCACATAATGCAAAGTCTGCCATTTTGGGCTGGGACCCAAGTCTGGACCTCTTCCATTAGTTTTCCAGATAGGGAGCCTGTGAGTCTGGAGTGGGGCCTGGAGTGGGGCCTGGAGTGGGAAGACTGTGCCTGGGCAGGCAGAAAGGAGGAGGAAATCATTGGCCAGCTCAGCTTTGCTGTCTGCCTTCCTACTCAGGCTCCTGGTCACCAATCCTCAAACCAACGGGACAGCAGGCCTCCTACATCGTTGTTCCCTCATCCAGGATGAGATTCTTTGCCAACCAGTAGGTAAGTCAACCACCACTCCAGGGAATGTTCCCTGGACCTCCTTTTGAGGAATCCCACTTATCTGGCCGAAACCATTTGAACCCAGATGCACTTAGTCCAGTCCCTCGACCCTAGATTCCACCACCACCCACAGTAGGCCTTCTATCCCAAAGCCCAATCCCATCCCAACCCAACCCAAATCCCCAGCCCACCTTTCCATATCTTGTCCTAACAAAAATGATACCTAAAATGTATCGAGTGCTACCTAAATGATACCTAAAATGTAGCAGAGTGCCTGGCACTCTGCTAAGTGCTTTGTTCACTTTTAATTCTCAAATTCACTCCCATTTTATAGAAAAGGAAGCTACAGTTCAGAGCAGTCCTTTAATTGCCAATACGACTAAGGGCATGCATCTAGTGTTGGCAGCACTACAGCTGGCAAACCCGACTCTATCTGATTCCAGAACCCAACATGTCCCAATTCATCACACCTCCATTTCATCTAACTTTACCCCTCCCGACCTGTGGCCATCCTAGCATCTAGCATGGGGATTGGCACTCAATAAATGCTGTTTGAATGAATGAATGAACAAGTGAATGGACCTAATTCACACATTAACCAACTCTACTCATTCCATCCAGTTCAACTCAAGGCCCACATTTGCTGATGAACCCTCAGCTGTGTATGGTAGGGTTCTTGTCTCTGTGAAAGGCATGGTGTTGATCAGCCTCAGTCTCTGCTTCAGAAGGGGATGCAGGCTGGCAGCATAAGCGGGTGATTCTATGGCTCAAAAATGAGTCTCCTGAGGCCCACCTTGTGGAGGGAGAGGAATGAGCTACACTTTCACCCTGGGGTCTTGGGGCATTAAGAGTCCCCAGAAATAGAACGTGGAGAGTGGAGAGTTCATCGGTCCATGTAGCCAGTTCTTTAGCATCTTTCACCCGTCCCCAGTGCGGCACACAACCACCGGCTAGTTCTTCTCTGCCCTCCTGCCCTTCCAAACTGGGATCCCCTGTAAGTAAAGTACCAGGTCTCAGTTATGTCTAGATCCCTATCACCATCTGCCATGAGGCTAGGCACAGAGCAGACATCACAGGGCATTTGTTGAATGAGTCAGTGAATAAGCCCAGGGAATAGGCCCTTTGCCTTGAACATGTCCAGGCCTGTGCTTGAAGGCCCCCCAACCAGCTTCTAGAAGCTGCTCTGAGTGGCCGATTGTTCTTTATGGGGCCCTGACCATCATGTGACCTCTGATGTTGGCTGTAGGGTTGCCTCCCAGCATCCTTCCCTCCTTACCTAGGCTTAACTGTTTCAGAGCATGCCCCCATCCCAAAGGGAAGGCACCCGGGAGTGACAGTTGTCCGGAACCACCACAGTGTTTTGGTGAGTATGCATGAGGCAGGATGATGGAGGGCTTCAGGGAAGGTGGAACTTACCCTGTAGTTGACCGGTGTTGATAACACTCTGACTGGCATATTCTCAGGGCTGAGCCCAGCTGCCTCCCTGGTACCAACCCCAGGGCTAACCATGGCTCTGACCTGGGTACTCCATGACCCAGCACACTGACCTAAGTGCTTAACTTCAGCTTTGGCCCCAGCACTGACTCCTACCCCTGATGAGGGGTGAGCAAACTATTCCTGCATCTTCTACTTGGTTGTGGCACTTAATTCTGTAATGGAGGTGATGGATTCTGTAATGGGGTGATGATGTGGCTGTGATTAGGGGGCCTGTGCTGGAGATGACCTAGGCTTTCCCCTTCTTCTCTCCCCCTCTCTCCTAGATCTGTATTCAAGTGATGTCCCGGAAGCCCCACAGCCTCAGCCCAGAACTCATAGGCACCTGCAGCCTATTAGCCAACAACTTCCAACCCCAGGCTCAGGTCTACTTCTCTGACCTTGGTAAGGGTTGGACACTGACTGACCTTAGATAGCTCTAAAGAGATCTCCTTGGGTCTCCAGGAAGAGGCGTGGCAGATGTTAGAGGGACACAGAAGCCCAGAGAGGGCAAGGCGAGCCTAAGCCCCTGTGAAGGAAATCAAAGCAGAGACAAGTGTGGGCCTGCCTGGAGGTGAACAAGGAGGCTATCTGACTCCGAGTTCTTCCGTATGTGTTTTTAAAGAAAATCTCCTTGATCCCAATGTACATGTGGATGCCAGAGACTGCTACCGGAACAAGAATGGCAGCCTAGAGAAGACAGCCAGGTGGCGCCGGGCTCTGAAGACACAAGAGGGGCAGGAGGATGAAGCAGCTGGTGAGAAGAGGCAGATCTGGGTTGTTCCCAGAGGCTGTCAGAGCTGACCCCTAGGCTGGTGACCTCCAGGGGTGAGGTGTGCCGAGGGCCGGAAGATGGGAAGCAGTGGCTGGATTCTATAGGCCTAGTTAGTCCCAGCTCTGCCCCCCTCTCCATATTACAGATGGAGAAACTGAGGCCCGAGGAGCAGGAGCTATGGGAGTGACTCACTCAGCAGGTCAGAGCCCGAGTAGGCCATGGCTATCTATGCCTCCGAGACAGAGGCTTCACTCTTGGGGACTTTACCAGCTTCCTCCCTGAACTGAGCCCTCAGGGCTTGAATGGGGTGGGTGCCCTGCAGGGCAGCACATGCTGCCCTCACTCCTGTGTCAAATTCCGTGTCCGCTCCTAACCTGCTCCCTGTTTTGGCCAGGCACTGAGATTGCCATCATCCTAGATGGCTCAGGAAGCATTGATCCCCCAGACTTCCAGAAAGCCAAAGACTTCATCTCCAACATGATGAAGAACTTCTATGCCAAGTGCTTTGAGGTGGGCTTCCCTAAGAGCTAGACTCACACAGTCTATTAGTTCTCTATTGCCATGAACAAACTACCTCAAAACAACAACCATTTATTTGCTCACAGTTCTGTGGGTCAGCTATTTGGGCTGGATTCAGCTGGGTGGTCCTTCTGCTGGCCTTGCCTGGAGTTACTCCTGCAGCTGCAGACATCCTGTTGTTTGACTGGATGGCCTAAGATGGCCTTACCTGTCTGGGCCTTGTGCCTCCAGCAGGCCAGCTTAACGTTTTCATGGCTGCAGTGTTCCAAGAGGGCAAGAACCAGCGCATGCGTGTACTTTTCAAGTTTCTGACTGTATCGCATTTGCTCATGTTCCATTGACCAAAGCTAGTCACATGACCAACCCCATAGTCAATATGTGGGAGGGGGACTACACAAAGACATGGTTTCAGGGGCAAGTCTATGATTCACTGTGATCCAGTACTATTATACCTTCCTCCACCTCTCCTTGCTTAGAGATTTCCCTCTGCCTTAACATCTCCTCCTGCCTGGAGGCAAGGAGAAATGAGTGGATTCTTCCACTGCTTCCAGGAGGAACCGTGTAGGGGGCAGGGGCGGCTTTGGGCATGGTGACTCTGCCAACCTCCTCCCCACCTCGGCTCCTCCTCTATAGTGCAACTTTGCCCTTGTGCAATATGGGGAAGTGATACAGACTGAGTTTGATCTTCGGGACAGCCAGGATGCACTGGCCTCCCTCGCCAGAGTCCAGAATATCACTCAAGTGAAGAATGTCACCAAGACTGCTTCTGCCATACAGCATGTCCTGTAAGTATGAGGGCAGTGGGAATTACCTGAGCACCTACTGGGTGCCAGCTCACGGCCCTGCCCAGAGGTTCTGAGGCATCATGCCTGGAGAGATGGCTGGATGGAGCTGTGAAGAGGAGAGGATCAGGTTCTAGCTCTTCTTTGGCTGAGGGAAATGTGTGAGGTCTTTCAACCCAGTCTTTGTTAATGGCTGACATCCCAAGACATCCTCCAAAAAGTCTTCCAAAGACTCCTGCTGTGAGCATCAGTAGAGCACGGTACTTACAGGGATGGGCTTCGTGGCCAGGCTGCGTGGGTTCAATCTCTACTTTGTACTCACCTTGGGTAAGTTGCCTAACCTGTCGGTGCTTCAGTTGCCTCACATTTAAAATGAGAATAATAATAATGCTTGTCAGGGGCACCTGGGTGGCTCAGTCAGTTAAGCATCTGACTCTTGATTTCAGCTCAGGTCATGATCTCACAGTTTGTAAGCTCCAGCCCCACGTCAGGCTCTGTGCTGACAGGTGGAGGCTGCTTGGGATTTTCTCTCCCTCTGCATGCTCCCTTTGTCTCTCAAAATAAATAAATAAACTTAAAAAAATAATATTATTTGTTCTATAGGATTTTGTGAGGATTAAATGGGTTAAAATATGCACAGCACTTACAACAGTGCTTGGCACATAAGTACTATGTAAATATTAGCCACTCTTTATCAATATCATTGTCATTCCTACACATACACACAGAATAGACTCTGCTATCCAGCACCTTTCTATGGGAGGAGGTGAGGGGCTAGGTATGTCTCAGCCTCCCCTCCACCTGGCCCTGCTGTGTGCCACAGGGGCATCACCACCCCTCTTCCGGCTTTTGTTCCCCCATTTCGGAGGGCTCCTTAATCCTCTCCAATTCTGAAACAGGTCAGTGAGTAAAATCTCCCCGGAGCTCAGTATCCCTCTGGCAAAGTTCTCCTCTTTATTTACTCTCCCCTACTTAGAGACAACATCTTCACGCCAAGCCACGGCTCCAGAAAAAATGCACCCAAGGTCATAGTGGTAATCACTGATGGGGACATATTTGGGGATCCACTCAACCTCACAACTGTCATCAGTTCCCCAAAGATGCAAGGTGTTGAGCGCTTTGCCATCAGGGTAAGAGCTGGGAGTTGGGTCGGGGGGCACCTTCTGACCCTGTTCAGCCTGGGGTGGGGAGGAGCCAGGGTTCCCGATAGGGGCTTGCTCTATTCACAGACTCTCACCAACTTCTCCCAGTCCCTATGTCCTGTACTTCCCCCATCCCATATCGGGTCCTCACACAGAGGGCTTGTTTCCCAACTGTGGTCACAGCTCACTCACCCAGCAGTGATGGGGAGAGCAGTGGACACTCAGGGATCCCAAAAGAAGAACATCAGGGAAGGTTCCTGGAGGAGACGGTGCTAAGCTAAGTGTTGGAGGACAAGCAGGAGTAGCTGGCCTAGGGTGCAGGGAAGGTAGAAGGGCTCTGCAGGCAAAGGGCACAGCATGTGCAGAGGTGAGAATGAACCTGGTGTGAGAAGGAAGGGGTATGTGTGGGAGAACAGGGAGCAGGGAAAGGAGGCAGGTGGTGAAGGGCCCTGAAGGCCAGCAGAGAGACTCAGCCCTCTCCTAGCCTAGAGAGCTCCCTGGGCTTGGGAACCAGCCAGCCCTCACAGTGCTGACCCACTGACCCAGGGCTTCTGTGCAGGTGGGAAATGGGAGTACTAAGACCCTCAAGGAACTGAAGCTGATTGCCTCAGACCCATTTGAGAGACATGCGTTCACAGTGACCAATTATTCAGCCCTGGATGGACTGCTGAGCAAATTGCAGCAGAATATCATTCACACGGAAGGTGAGGGCTCCAGCGTGGTCCACTTAGCCTCTGGCAGGAGGCCAAGCCCTGTGTGTCAGCCCCACCCCTGTCCTACCTCCATATGGTTCTCTGGGCAACTCCTATCACCTCTCTGAGCCTCAGCTGTTCCATCTCTAAAAAGGTAACAATATCCCCAGCCCTCATCGCTTCCCCAGAATTACCTGAACCTCTGATGAGAAGCTTAAGTGCTGGAGAAAGAATGACTGGGACATGGATCCCACTCTCAGGAGCTCACAGATGAGGAAACTGAGGCCCAGAAAGAGGAAGTAAGCTGCCCAAGCTTACTCTGCGGGTAGATACTAAAGCAGGATCAGGTCTCCACTCTCAGCCTGGTATATGTCCCATTATTCCGAACATCGTTCCCTCTGGGTGTGAGGTCAAACTGGGCCCTTCCCTGACTTAGTTTCTCCCTTCACCTCAGCCCACAGCAGCATCTCACTGGGCTTCTTGGCTTCTAGGCACTGTTGGAGAGGCCCTCCACTACCAACTGGCACAGATCGGGTTCAGTGCCCAGATCCTGGATGAGGTATGTGGTGAACTCAGCACCAGGCAGGATCACCATAGAGGAAGGGCCTCAGTGACACCCAGGGACTCAGGGACCCCTGGCTCACAGTGCAGGGCTCTGTCCTCCTGTAATGAGGCCTCTGAAGGAGCCCGTTTAGGATAAAAGAAAACTCTTGTACTTGCTTGCCCTAATCTGGACCTTTGAGGTAGGCAAAAGAATGGCCATATTTATTACAGGGGTCAGTTTTGTTCTGTGTGCTCAAAGATTGAGCAGTTCCCTCTTAATATACGCTACTAACACCAGCTTTGGCTCGGGTCACTTGCCTACCAAGCTGAGTTCTCCTCACCGGAGGCACTATTCCTCCCAGATGGGGAAAGATGCAGGCATGGTGAGGACATCAGCCCTGCACAGAGGTGGAATTGTGGTTAGCAAATTGCTCAACACAGGTAGGCCTTGGGTGTCAGGCACAGGCTGAGCAACCTGTACAGAAGGAGATGAGCTCTGTCTTGCTCAACCGTACTTTGTTTTAATGCTCAACGTCTATGGCCCGGGTCAGATTTCCACCCTGGAAATCTGGAGAGACACTCACTGGAGAGACAGTTGCCCCGCTAGGGTCATGGGTACAAGGTAGGAACTGGGTATTTGCCATTTCACCTTCCTTCTGCGTTTCCAGCCAGGTGGTCAGGGATCATTGAACATCCCCCGCCCCCAACCCAAGGTTTGTGACATTGGCTGGTAGGCCCATGGCTGCTGTGGCTGGCCCCAGCTCCTGCCTCTCAGATGACCTCCAACCCTCATCCCCTGTAGGGGCAGGTGCTGCTCGGTGCCGTCGGGGCCTTTAACTGGTCAGGGGGAGCACTGCTCTACAACTTGCACAGCCGCCGGGGTCGCTTCCTGAACCAGACGGCAGCAGATACCAAGACTGCACAGTACAGCTATCTAGGTGAGGCGGGGCCTGGAGACTACCTGAGTGAGGGTGGGGCCTACACAGGGACACTGAGTCTGCGCATTAGCCTGCACTAGGCTTCCCAGTTAGGGCAGGCTGTGGTCAGTCACATGGACTGAGGGATGGGCCTTGGTTAGGGACGCTCGAGGCTGAGAATTAGGGCCTTTTGGATGAGGACAAGGCCTCCTTGGTACTGAAGCTCAGGGTGGCCCTGAGGATGTGGGGCCTTGCCACTAACGGTAGTGGTGGGTAACCCTTCACCCCTCTCCTTGGTCCTCATATACCATGTGTATGATGAACATGGGTGGTGAATGTGTGTGAAGGAGTATATTTGGAGTGAAGCTGTATATATGATAATGTGTGTGTATCACTTCTGTGTGATGGGGCACATGTGTGTGACCAGCTACGGTGGTTAAGTGGGAGCACTCCCTGATGCCAATTTTTAAAAGGATGAGAAAGACAGTTTCTCCAGATCTGCTCCCCTCTGCCCAGGCTACTTTGAAGGATTGGCTGGGAAAGTCGGGGTTCTAAGGAGTGGCCTGGGAGCTCCCAACGACAACCACCACCTCCTCCCTCCTAGGTTACTCAGTGGCCCTGCTGCACAAGGCCTGTGGCCTCTCCTATGTGGCAGGGGCTCCACGGTACAAGCAGCGGGGGGCCGTGTTTGAGCTTCAGAAGGAGGGCAAAGAGACCAACTTCGTGCCAGTGCTGGAGGGAGAGCAGGTACTTGCTGGAGAAGGATGCCCCCATTATTATAGATGGAGGATCTGGAAGTCCCAGAGGGAATGGGGCAGGCTCCAAGGCACACCGAGGGGCATCACCTCAGCCTGGACAGAACTCAGACAGAATGCAGTGCCACTGCCCCAGCTCTGCATGTCTGGTTATCAACTGGCTTCCTCCGCTGTGGGGCATATGGCCGCTCACCCAGGCTTCTAGGTTTCTCTGGTGAACAGATTGATCTGGAATGACCCAAATTGGCAGTCCAGGAAGAACAGGATCAGGAGTCTAGGCTTGCTGAGGGGTATCAGAGGAGGCCTCCCCAGCACCCTTGTGAGCTGAGCTCCTCCTGGGCTGTAGATGGGATCCTATTTTGGCTCTGAGCTGTGCCCTGTGGACGTTGACATGGATGGGACCACGGACTTCTTGCTCGTGGCTGCTCCTTTCTACCACATTCACGGAGAGGAAGGCAGAGTCTACGTGTACCATCTGAACAAGCAGGTGGGAGTCTCCATCTTCGCAAACTTGCTGAGCTTGTGGGTGCTTAGCCTGCTGCAGAGGTGACGGAGGCTGGGAGTGCCCTGGCCCTGCCTTGCTTGGAAGGACAGTGCTGGGGAAGTGCGCAGGGTGGATGGTGGACAGCTGGGGCGGCTGTTCCATTTGTTCCCCTGCTCCACCTTCTCACTTTCCCCACCCCATCATCCCATGTCGATGATGATAACATCCCAAATAGCTGCACGCTCGACAAAGCATGTTTTGTCTATGATCTCGCTTGTTTCTCACTGTAACTGTGTTTCTCATACTGTGTCACTTCCGTTTTACAGATGAGGAAGCTGAGGCTCAACGATGTTGAGACTTGCTCAAGTTTACATAGCGAGTGTGTGGTAGAGCCAAGACTAGAACCCGGGCCTCCCAATTGCCAGTGGGGTACCCCTAACTGTGGGAGCAGAGGGAGAAGGCTCTGGGTCCTAGCAGGCTCTGGGCAGGAGGATCTTAGCCTTACCACTCACTTACCGTGTAGCCTTGGGGAGGTCCGTTGCCTTTTCTGAGCCTCAGCCTCCCTGCTAGAGAATCAGGAACAAGTCCAGTGAGCATGCCTTCCGGGATGGCCGCGGTTGTGCACCCTGCATCCCTCTCTTGAGGACTGAGCTACCTGTTTGCTTTACAGAATGGTTCCTTCTCTTTGGCACACACGCTGAGTGGGTACCCTGGATTCACTGATGTCCGATTTGGCTTTGCCATGGCAACAGTGGGGGATATCAGTCAGGATAAGCTCACAGATGTGGCCATTGGGGCCCCCCTGGAGGGTTTTGGGGCAGATGATGGTACCAGCTTCGGCAGCGTGTACATCTACAATGGACGCTGGGATGGCCTTCCTACCACCCCCTCTCAGGTAACCTGCAGGGCTCTCTCCAGCCTCTACTATGAGATTCTGACCTCCCTAGATGTGATAGCCTGAGCCCCAAGTCAGCTCCAGTTCTAAGTGTCAGGCGGGTCCCAAAGGGTCAGCAGTGCCCAGTGAAGGACAGAAGTCACTTGGAGGTTCCAGGCCAGGACCTCACCCCAGACCCTTCCAGTGGGGTAAGAGGTTGTGGCAACATCTGTTTCTTGACCCGTATCTCCCTTTTTTGGCATTCCTGACCATGGACCTGCCTCAGATTCTCCTTCCTCACTTTCTGTCCCTTCTCTGGCTCCTGCCCCCCCACCCAACCCCATCCATGCCTTAACCCTCATCTCCCAAGACCCCATTGCCAGCCTCTCATGTTACATAGTTTGTGGGCACTTTCACCCATCTCAGACCATGGTTGTTCTTCTAACTTCAGTTTTGTATGTCCAGCTGTGTCCCGAGCACCTTGCTGGATGGCTCCCCAGGCATCTCATGCTGCCTAACCCAAAGCATCCTCTCCTCCCAGACCTGCTGCTCCTCTGGGCCCCTTCTCCTATCCCCCACACATATCCTAATGGTTCTCTCCCATATCCAGCCCTGGCCTGGCTCCTGTCTCTCTCCATCCCTACCACCCCTGGCCTGGCTGCTCCTACTCGCCATCTTCCGCCCTGTGTCTGATTAGTCAGGCCCACCTCATTCCCCAGCCCCTCCTCAAGCCTCCTTGCACCCAAACCCCCTCTGTTCCCACTGCAGTGACCCCTGGCTGTGTCCTCAGATGTCCTGCTCTTCCCCAACCCCAGCTTTCATCACTTGCCATGTCAAGTCCCACCTGCCCTTCAGGGCTCCATTCAAATGCCATTCCCCCTGGAAAACCTTGCCCTTCTCTTTTCAGTTCCTCACTTGAGGGCTCACTGGGGTGGGGATCAAGGCTTATCATGCTGATTTGAATAAAACCCAAAAGGGCTCCCCTTCTCCTCCTCCATGCCTTGTGCTTTTCTCTCCACAGCGGATCAGAGCCTCAGAGGTGGCCTCAGGACTCCACTACTTTGGCATGTCGGTGGCTGGCGGCTTAGATTTCACTGGTGACGGCCTTGCTGACATCACCGTGGGCACTCTGGGCCGGGCAGCTGTGCTCCGGTAGGGATTCGTTCTGCCTCCTGGGGTCCCAAGTCCCAGCCTCACCTAGTTGCCCTGTCTTCAGTGACCCCATGAAGACACCAGGCACTGATGGGAGAGAGTAAATGTGGTTGTCGAGGGCACTGGCTCTCGAATCTGCCCATCTGGGTTTGACCCTCAGCTCTCAATTAACCATTTGCCCTTGGGCAGGTTCTTGTATTCTGAGTCCCACTTTTCTGATCTGTAAATGGGAATAACAACAGCACCTCCCGCACAGAGTTATGAGGATTGAGAGAATCTTTGCAAAGATTTGGTACAGTACTCATTGAAAGCTATTATTTTGATGATATGATGATTTTCAGAACTTCTGTGTTCCATCCCTAAGGGAATTATCAAATCCCGTGGCTGTAAATAATCTGGCAGAGCACCTATCTGTCCTGTGCGCTCCACCAAGCTCCAACTTGGCTGCCTATTTAACGCCCTTCTTGGCTGTTGCTGTCTGGCATCTCGAAGTTAACATGTCTAAAAATGGACTTCGTGTTCTCACCCACTCCTCATTCTCCCCAAGCTGCCCTTCCCCAGGCTTGCCAGCTAAGTAAATGGCACCACTTGTTCAGGACAAATACCCAGGAGTCATCCTTGATTCCTCTCTTTTCTTTCTCCCACCACCCCATCAACAAGATTTTGTTGGCTCTGCCTCCACAGTGCTTCCCGGTATAAGACGCTGGCATCTCTCACCTGCACCACTGCCATGGTGTTCTTCCCTGCTTCCACTCCCCGTGCTCTGTTCTCCACACGGCTGCCTTTATCCTGCTGCTTAAAACCCCTCAGTGGCTCCCACTTAGAGAGTAAAATCCAAATTCTTTACCGTGGCTCACCATCCCCATGGCTTGTCTCTGCTCATCCCTCCATCCCCGTCTCCTCTTACTACCTTCTGTCTCACTAACTGTGCTCCAGTCGTGCTGACCTTTGTGTTCCTTAAACGAACCAAGTTCACTGCTACCACATGCCCTTTGCACTAGCTGTGCTTTCTGCCTGGAAGGAGGTTCCCCTTCTCTTCACACAGCTAGCTCTTGTTGGCACATCTCAAATGTCTCATCAGGGAGGCCATCCCTGATCACCCAACTAAGTAGCCCCCAATCTCTATTACCCTAACCTGTTTTGTTTTCTTAAAATTTTTTAATGTTTATATTTGAGAGAGAGAGAGAGAGAATCCAAAGCAGGCTTCAGGCCCCAAGCTGTCACTGCAGAGCCTGACACAGGGCCCGAACTCACAAACTCTGAGATCATGACCTGAGCCACAGTCAGACCCTTAACTGACTGAGCCACCCAGGTGCCCCCTATTTCCTTTTATCATAGCATTACCTGTACATAGGATTTTCCTGTCTCTTCTTATTTGCTTGTTGTCTATTTTCTCACTAGAGAAGAGACTTGTCTCTTTTCCAACTACTACATCCTGAAGATGCAGAACAGCACTTGGTATACTGGAGATGTTCAATAAATATTCATTGAATAATTGAATGAGCCAAGCACTGAAGTCTTGTGGTCACTCCTCATGGTTCTCTTTGCTATCTTGTTTAGCTCAAGACCTGTGGTTTACCTGAATGTGTCCATGACCTTCACCCCCATGGCACTGCCCATTGGCTTCAACAGCAGTGTGAATGCTTTTTTGTGTTTTGAAATCAGCTCTGTGACTACAGCTGCCGAGACAGGTAATAGACAGCCTGGCTGACCACCCTCCCCCCTCCCCCCCACCCAGTGTTGTGGTGATTCCTTGTTGGCTTCTGTAGGGGACAGAGAAAGAGGACTGGGAGGGTGGTGGTGTGCCGGGAGTGTTATGAAGTCCTGGTACTTGAAATCCCTCTATTAGAGCTTAGTTCCCTTGAGGTTAGGTTCTGCCTAATGGGAACTGTCCCAGAAAAGAGCGGTCTGCTGTTAAATCCATACTATGAAGGGATTTATCTGACCCTTGTTGGGCAGAAGGATTTTGGATCCCTTCCTCAAGGCTGAAGGATTGAGTTTCTGAAAGAAGACTCAGAAAAAAGGCAGCCATGCCTCCATCCCCCTCTCCTGTGCCCGTGTGTGTGTGCATGTGTTTGTAGGGGCTCCTGAGAAGTGCCTTTCCTCTTACTCTCTGATCACATCTTCCCTCCTTCCCTCCTCACTGTGTCTCCCTAGGCAGGTGGGATTAGATAACCTGCTGGAAGCCTGGCCTCTTTTTCCATCCCCATACTTGGCATTGGTTGGGTGCCTTTCCAGAAGGCAGAGGATGGGCATGGTTTTCATAGCCCAGGTACTTATTGCTAACCCAAGAGCTCCCCTCCAGAATAATCCCTCAGCAACAGTCCCCAAGGTTTAATCTCTCCAGAACAATACCTAAGATGTCTCTTTGCCTCTTGCAGGTCAGAAAGCATTCTCCCAGGTGGTAGTGGCTTTCCTGTAGAAGGAGGCCTTCATCAAATCTGGGGGTAGAAAATGACAGACCTATCAGTTCCAGCTGTATAGGATGAAAGATTCAGGTCACATTGCTTGAATAGCAGCTTCTGAGTGGCTGTGTGACACTGGGCAAGTGTCTTTCGTTCTCTGGGCCCTGGTTTCTATTCTGTACAGTATGGGAGTTGGCCCAGGTAGTCTGTAAGGTGCTTCCAGCTCCACTATCCTCAGGTCTTACTCTATGGTTTCTCTCTCCAGTCTCTGAATTATTCTTCCTCATAGTTTTCTCTTTCAATCATAGCCCTGGGAATGTGCTGCTTTGGGTTTGGGGCTGGGGCACTGAGGGACTAGAACCAGGTGCCAGAAGACCATGAGAAAAGTACTTTTGAAATGAAGAGACTTGGGATTCCAACACAAGGGACTAGGTGGGGACACCACTCAGGAAGGGCTCATAAGGAACTGCAGGCAGGCTAGGGGCCCCCTGTCTAGGGCTTACCCATCCCAGTCTTATCAGGAAGGTCTGGTCTTCATTCCCAGGCCTCAAAGACACAGTTCTGAACTTCACATTGGACGTGGATGTGATGAAGCAGAGGAAAAGACTGCAGTGTTCAGACAAGAATATTTGTCAGAGCCACCTTAGGGAATGGGATGGCAGTGTGTCCCGTCTTTGTGAGCCCCTCCTGCTCATTCCCACAGAGGGAAAGGTAAGTGGAGGAGTTTAGAAGAGAGTCATGATGGGTCTGGGTTTTCTTGAGAAAAAAGATTTGAGATGCTTGCCATGAAGGATATATACCCAAAACAAACTAGACAATTATAATAATCCTAGCAGATCAAGAACCATATAATGGCATGGGAGATGGAGTTAATTATACTAGAACTCCAAAGTAAAGAAATCTACTGAAATTGAACACTATGTCTCTGAGCTTCCTAGAAACTGGACACAAAGGGAAATGCTCTAATGGCTGACATTTTTCTTGGCAACAAATCAGGAATAACGGTGGATCCCCCCACCCCAGCCTCATGTCATCTCACCTAGTAGTGGGGTTGAGTGCCCTTATATGAGTAAACATCAGAAACATTGAATGAGAGAAAATAAAATAAAGACAAAAGGTATCATTTACAAAGGTTTACTCCTGACAGAGGTGCCTGGAGACATAAAAGACATGCGTTTGTCAGGACTCAGCCTTAGAAGGACCTATAAGGATCATTTATTCCAATAAACTTATAAGTTATGCTTCTCACTACATATCTGTTCAGGGTGTTAATTGGATTAAGAAAGTGTTTGTAGCAAGTCTATGCCTTCCTTAAATAAAAACTACATTTTCTACCTGGGGATCATGCTCACCTACTCTCAGGTGTTCAAAGCTCCTACCATCACTGAAAGGCTCACCTAAGGCCAATGGCACCCTAAGTAATCTCCTCATCTTCAGGTTTTACCTTTCTTTTTTTTTTTTTTTAATGTTTATTTATTTTTGAGACAGAGAGAGACAGAGCATGAACGGGGGAGGGTCAGAGAGAGAGGGAGACACAGAATCGGAAGCAGGCTCCAGGCTCTGAGCTGTCGGCACAGAGCCCGACGCGGGGCTTGAACTCACGGACCGTGAGATCATGACCTGAGCCGAAGTCGGACGCTTAACCGACTGAGCCACCCAGCCGCCCCAGGTTTTACCTTTCTAATAAGTCCTCCAGGTTGCTTTGAGAAAGACCTTTATGAACACAGATGTGACCACAATTCTTCCCTTCTGTGGCTTCCATTTGCCCTCCAAAAAATATTCAAGTTGGTTTGTAACTCTTGATGGCCAAAATCCCTTTGTGTTTGGGATGGGAACCATCATGAGTTTTCAGGCCTGAGGTTGTAGCAGATCAAGTGAGATTTTTCCAAAGCTCTAGGCAGCTTGCTTGAAGGAAGTTTCCCTTCAGCTTGGCTTATGTGGAAGAGGCTTATGACTTCTGACTCAACACTTTCATTGTTTATTTCTTATTATGATTACATCAGACTTAAAAGTATTCTTGTCATTTTTCCCCCACATGCCACTCCAATCCTGTATTACTTGGTGACTCTGTGGTAGCTCTGTGAGGAGGACTGCTTCTCCAGCATCAGTGTCAAGGTCAGCTACCAACTCCAGACCTCAGAGAGCCAGAGGGACCATCCCCACCCTGTTTTGGACCTCTACACTGAGCCCTTCACCATCTTCCAGGTGACGCAGCGAGGCGAGACTCCTGGGAGCCGTCCCCCAAAAAGTACCTGTTCCTCTAACTTTAAAGAATGTTAAAGTTAGGAGTACCCTCAGACAGTATTTGGGCCCCTTGCTGTTTAAACGGGGGAAACTGAGTTCCTGAGATGGTGTTCATTTGCCCAGGGCCTTACTGGTGGGTAACACAAGTCTCCAAACCACATGCAAGGTCAGTTCCTTTATGTTCACAGAAAACGTGCTTGCTACATATTTAATGATGCATAGGAATTTGTTGTCCGACTAGGCAAGGGTCTCTGGTGATAGTGTGGTGGGGGTCCTGTGTGGAGTCTGGACTGGGCCAACCTGCTCCTTCCTGTAGATAGGATGCTCTTTAGTGCATCTGCCTACCCAGGCCCTGACCTCGGCCTTCAGGCTGAATGTCTGACCTACCCAGAAACTTGGTGAGTGTCTGTCACAAGAAGCTTCTCTCATAACTCAGAGAAGTCAGAGGGAAAAAGAAACAGTCAAATTTCTTTCTTTCTTTTTTTTTTTTTTAATATTTATTTATTTATTTTGAGAGAGAGAGAGAAAGGACAAGCGGTGGAGGGGCAGAGAGAAAGGAAGAGAGAGAATCCCAAGCAGGGTTTGGGCTAGCAGTGCAGTCCCCACCCTGGGGCTCGATCTCACAAACCGTGAGATCATGACCTGAGCTGAAACCAAGAGTTGAATGCTTAACTGACTGAGCCACCCAGGCACCCCTCAAATTTCTTGATTCTTTGATATATAGGGTGATTTGGTTCTCTATACCCTGGCCGCCAATGGTATTCTGTCAGTCTTCATTTAGAGGGTCTTATGGCATATAGAAAAATCAGCAAGATTAAAGTGACAACATACACATTTAAAATAATAATTACAGTCAGTTGGAATGAAAAGGAAAAGCCGCCAAAAGCAGTTCATACTGACATAGAAAATCTTCAGGTAGAGTACCTATATTTCCAGGTAATCATAGGACACTCATGACTGTCTAATATTTTTACAACAGTGCTCTATATAAATTAAATAAATATTTGGCTTAAGTTTTGGCCAGTATCCAATGAATCAGTCACAAACAGTGAATAGAAATAAGAGAATAATATAACTAGGGTGACTCTTTCCATTGCTCTTCTGCCCAGGAAGGAGAATTAGCCTCCCTATGAGCAAAGATTGTCATCTTAATTCTTTTAGGCAAGAAATTTTATCTGAAATTTATAATAGTATATTTATTTTGTAAATAATTTTTAAAATTTTGGTATTGACAGAATAGATGATTCAGAAAAGATTAGGAGAACTAATGTAACAAATTTCATGAATAAGTAGATTATAATTAATTATATACATTCTGTTTTTCAAAACCTTTTTATTTTGAAGAATAGTCCAAAAAATTCCCATGCATTCTTTATCTAGATTCCCCCAAAGTTACCATTTTGATATTTTTATTTTTTTTTTCAACGTTTATTTATTTTTGGGACAGAGAGAGACAGAGCATGAACGGGGGAGGGGCAGAGAGAGAGGGAGACACAGAATCGGAAACAGGCTCCAGGCTCTGAGCCATCAGCCCAGAGCCTGACGCGGGGCTCGAACTCCCGGACCGCGAGATCGTGACCTGGCTGAAGTCGGACGCTTAACCGACTGCGCCACCCAGGCGCCCCACCATTTTGATATTTTATCGTATTTGCTTTATCATTCTCTTATTATATATATATATATATATATATATATACACACACACACACACACATATACATATATACACACATACATATATATGTGAATATATACGTGTCACACATCCATATATGTGTGCATATATACAATGTATACATATCACATATACATATATGTGTATATACACATATCACACATACATATATGTGTATATATACATATCACACATTCCATATATGTATGTGTATGTATATATATCACACGTTTATATTTTGCAACCATTTGAGAGTAAGTTACAAAGTTACAGATAGGATGCCTCTTAAACCCCAATACTTCAGTATATATTTCCTAAAAAACAAGGACATTCTCTTATCAAACCACAGTATGAGGATCAAAATCAGGAAATTAACAATGATAAAATGCTCTTATGTAATGTATAAACTTATTCAGATACCACCAGTTGTCCTATTAGTGTCCTATATGGCAAAAGAAAACATTTTTTTTTTTTTCTGGCCCAAGATCATTCATTACATTTTTTCAATACTCATCTTTCTTTAGTCTCCTTCAATCTGCAATAGTTTCTCGGTCTGTCTCACCATTTTTCAATGGTACAGGCCAGTTATTTTGTAGAATATGTTTCCTCATGATTACATTCAGGTTATGCATTTTTGACAGAAGTATCACAGAAGTGAAGCTGTGTCCTTCTAAGTGCACAGCATAGGAGGTACAACATGTTGATCTGTCCCTTTCTGGTACTATTTCCCTTTGTAATCAATAAGTATCTTTAAACTTTTTTTTTTAATGTTTATTTACTTTTGAGAAAGAGAGAGACAGAGAGTGAGTGGGGGAGGGGCAGAGAGAGAGGGAGACACAGAATCTGAAGCAGGCTCTAGGCTCTGAGCTGTCAGCGCAGAGCCCGATGCGGGGCTCGAACCCATGAACTGTGAGATCATAACCTGAGCTGAAGTCGGACGCTTAACTGACTGAGCCATCCAGGCGCCCCTAACAAAGAGATTTTTTAAAAAAAATTTATTCCACTAATGAAATGGGTGAGGAGAAATTATTTGGTGTTAGGTTAGGCACATAGATGTTTCCAAAGAATGAGTTCTAGCTGGGAGCTTAGATGCTTTAATCCTGCTCTCTCTCACTGGGCCTGGGTGAAAAAGCAGGCTACTTGGCTATATTAAAAGCAGAAGTAAAAAAAAAAAACCTGCCTCAGACTGTTAAGCTAGCCAGATAGAGCTCCAAGATATGACTTCTTCAAACTGCATCTCCCTCCTCTGGGAAGTAAGTTTCCTTTCTAGCTTCGGGCTCCCATTCCAGCTCCAGGCCATGGTAACATTCCTTGCAGAAAGCTACTGAGGTGGTCACTGGCTGCTGGGGAGATAAACACAGAGATTCTCCAGTTAAGGAGCTGGCTGTTTCCTTCATAACAAAAAAATAGATCCAGTTCCTTTAAAAAAATTTGATTTTTTAACTTAACTAGGGCTGTTCACCTTGCCTGGGCCTTTTGGACCCTCTGTAACTTTCCAAATGATTTTGTTTTAGTATAGGCAAAATTACAAGGGGAATATTTATCCTACAGAGAAGACTAGTCATGGGGACAAGAACCTCACAGGACTGGACCTCACAATATTTGGGTTAGGTGTCCCCCCATTCCTGCTCCTGCTGTTCCTGCCTCTACTTAAAAGGACTAAGGAAGCTTTTTTTCCTCTTAGGTTTTCCTCCCTAAAATGTTCAGATTAGTGAGTTGTGAGCAAGCCTGCTGCTTAATTCCCATGATATAAATGTGACAGGCACCCCCACCATTCCATGAAGGTCCCCCCATTTTTCACCTTGGCCAGAGGCCTAAATCCCGGTGTACCTTTGTTGTAAGACCAAGCACACTCCGTACCCCTGACAGGTCAAGGAATGTCACAGTCACAGCTCTCTTGGCCATATGGGTACAACCCCAGTCTGTTGGCCTTCACGTCCTTCTACCTGCACTTCTCAGAGTCTAAGGAAGGAGAGGTATGTCCTATGGAGAAGATCGAGAGGCAAAGCTCCCAGGGATGGTGGTGTCCCTGGTCTGACCCCTGCCTCTCTCTGTTTGGTTATAGCTGCCCTATGAGAAGAACTGCACGAATAAGCTGTTTTGTGTTGCTGACTTACAGATGGCCACCACCACCTCTCAGTGAGTTGTCAACTGCAACTAACTTTCTCCTGAAGGTGTACCCGGCAAACCCCTCATCAAAATTTGACTTTTCCTCATGGCCCACAAAGGGCTTTGAATCTATTACCTCATTGGGTCCTCAGCCACACCATGAGGGAGGCAAGAGATTTGTATTTCTGTCTTATAGATTATGGAACAGACTCAGTGGCTGAGGGACTGTGTGGGATCACAGAGCTCATTTGGTGGACTTGAACCCAGGTCTCTGACACCCTGGACAATGCTATTTTCATACCCTAGTGTTTCTTGCTCCTAGGACTACCCCAGGTAGAGGTAGCCTCTTCCTTGGCTCACCTGTTAACCCAATTACTTAACTAATTCATTAAATATTTATGGAGCATCTCCTCTGTGCCAGGCACTCTACATGCTGGAGATACATCAGCACACAACATAGACAAAACAGCCTTGCCCTCCTGGTGTTTTAGGAGGAGAAGATAGTAGGTACATTTTATGTTGATGAGATGTACTATGAAGAAAAGGCAGGGAAGGTGGGAGAAAGTGCCGGGTGGGGGTGGATTGCAGTTTTGGAGTGGTCAGGAAAGGGCTCACTGTGGCGACATTTTGGTACACACAGGAGGAGACTGGGGAGTGAACTCTGTGGGTGTCTGCAGGGAGAGCAGCTGCAAATTCCCTGAGATGGGAGCATACCTGGAGGTGGGAGGAATGGCCAGGACACCAGTGTGGTTGCAGTAGAATGAGGGAGAGGTAATGTGGGGGCAGGGAGAAAGGTTATATGGGACTTCTGAGGCCCTGCATAAGGGCTTTTATTGTGAACTGGGAAGCCAGACGAATGACAGGATCTTGCATTTTAACAGGCTCATTCTTGCTGCTGTGTGGTAGACTGCAGGAACACAGGTGTAAGCAGGGAGATAGTAAGGATCTATTATAACAACTCAGGTGAGAAGCGATGGTGACTTGGGCCAAAGTGGTAGCAGGTAAAGGTGCCTATATTTTGAAGTTAGAGCCCACAGGACTTGATGACAGATTGGATCAGGGGAGTAAGAGAAAAAGAAGGGTCTAAGGCAGCTTCCATGGTTTCATCCTGAACATCTAGATTTGTGCTGTCCAATACAGTAGCCACTAGTCACATTTAACTATTTAAATGAATTAAAATTAAGTAAAATTAAAATTTTAGTTCCTCAGTTGAACTAGGCACATTTCAAGGGCTCAACACCCACATAGGCCAGTGATATTGAATAGCACAGATATAGACTATTTCCATTACTGCGAAAGTTCCCTTGGATCACACTGAACTCCACAATAATGGCGATGCCAAGAACTGAATTGGGGAAGCCTTTAGAAGACTGATTTTGGAAGGCAGGGTGGAGAGAAAGAGATAAGGAGTTTGACTTTGGACACGTGACGGTCTTAAAATGCCCTTCCTGGCTAGTAGTGCTGCACACATAACATGGCACTGATGGCCCATTGGCCGGAGTTGGCATCTGGGTGGAAGAACGCTGTTGCCTGAGTCCTGGTAAGCCTTTTCATAGACATTTGTAGGAATTGTGGATGGCTTAGTGCGGCCCATCCCAATTGCTAAGGATCCAGTTCAAGACTTCTGAGTGTTTTGGAATCCAGCCTAATAAACAGATGCAGCTGTTTCCAACAGGAATTAATTACAGCCAAGAACTTCCCTCCCAGCCAGCTCCTTGGGATATATATAGCACACACAGCTGGCCCTACATCACCCCCTAGTGTAAATAGTAACCAGTCTCTTCTTTTTTCAAAAAGTATGATTGAGTCTAATCCTTAGTTAGCATCCAAATGTTTCAGGGGTTTCAACCTTTTTATGGACATGGATCTCCTAAAGAATCGAAGGAAAAAGCTCGAAGATGACATAGGCATAAAACATAAGTGTTTGCATTTGGGGCCCTCTGAAACTGTCCCTGGCCCTCAGGTTAAGAACCCCTGTGAAATAGAACAGTGGCTCTCAGATCTCTCTCGTGGGCTCTAGAACAGTTTAGCCAACTGATGTTTCAACATCTCTACCTTGTTATGCCATAGGCACCTCTCTTTATATCCCTGCCTGAACTCATCTGTCAGCTGCCACCCTCTGGTCTTCCTCCAGTGTTCTCTCCCTCACGAATAGGACCACTTGGTCATCCAGTGTGAAAATTCAGGGCTCATCCTTGACTCCTCTCTCTGCTGCTCTGGTTACAAGTGTGGCCTTACCATATCTGGTTTCTATCCCTTCTCTCTATCCCGGCTACTACTATATTACATCAGGCATTTGCCATCTTTTTTTTTTTTTTTTTTAAATTTTGTAAAATGTTTATCTTTGAAGGAGAGAGGCAGAGAGTGAGGGAGACACAGAATCCGAAGCAAGTTCCAGGCTCTGAGCTGTCAGCACAGAGCCCAACGTGGGGCTCCAACCCATGAACCAGGAGATCATGACCTGAACCGAAGTTGGATGCTTAACCATCTGGGGCGCCCAGGTGTCCCAGGCATTTGCCATCTCTTCAATGGATTTCCACAGCAGGCTCTAGTTGTCTCCCCACCCTCTCTCCTGCTAATCAATCTATCCTCTTCTCAGTTCTGATAAAACAAAAAGAATACTACCACAACAATAAAACACATGTCACAATACTTCCCAGAGCTTCATATTCTGTTTTTGAACAAATTTCCTAGGTGGCTAGGAAATTTTCCTTATATCGCTAATGTGTTCTCCTGCAGATCTTGGTTATGGATAGTGGTTCTGTACTCTGGGGCCCCACAGCACCTCAGTGGACTGAAGGAAGCTCTCACAAATCCCAAGTCTTCTCAAGTCTGAACAGACTGTTTTAAACCATACATTTAACCAACTGAGCCACCTAGACGCCCCAGTATTGAGCAGAGTATCTGGCACAGAGAAAGTACTCCATAAGTATATATGAAATGGATGAATTTGTGTAATGAAGTACCTTGCCTAGGGTTGCAGTGAATTGGCAGTAGAAAGAGTATTTAATTATAATTTTCCCAACCCCCTTTTGAGACTGTTAGACCTCAGGCAAATTAGACTCTCTTGGCTTCTGTTTCCTTTTCTATGAAATGGACAGTAACCATACTATTTTATACAGTTATTACGAGGATTAATTGAGGATGTGAAGCATCGAGCACAGTCCCTGCCATATAGTAAGCACCAAATAATGGGAAGCATTATCACCGTCTCACATAGCAACTGAGGGGGGATAGCAGTCCAGGTGTTTGCTTATGTTGAGGGGGAAGAAAATCTAGGCTAAATGTATCCTTTAGGCAATTTAAGAAGTTAGTTAAGATTGTGCTATTGTATTGCATTGATGTTTTTACAGATCAAATAAATTGGTAACATGTATCTATTTGCCTACTGCTGTGCAGGCAGGAATTGGTGGTGGGTCTCACAAAGGAGCTGACTCTGAACATTAACCTAACTAACTCTGGGGAAGATTCCTACATGACGAGCATGGCTTTGCATTACCCCAGAAACTTACAGTTTAAGAGGATACAGAAGGTAACTACGATGGCAGTTTTGGAAACATACACTCACGGCTGTCCCTTCCTGTACACCTGCTTTTTTATGGCAACCTCTGAACTGGTCTCCCGGCCTCCAGTCTCATCCAGGTCCATCCAATAAACTAGATGGATCCCCTCCAGTCCAACTGCATGCTGTGCTATGGGTTCAGTCGTGCTATTCTCTGCCTAAAGAGCCACCAGTGATGCCGTTCTGCAGTCACTCCTTGCCTGCAGCCTTTCTTAACCAGGGTTCTGAGAGGAAAATATTCTCTAAGTTAGCCGGGACCGGGAAAGTAAAAGTCTGCCCTGCCATTCATCAACCTGGGATCACAGACTCAAAGCCAGCTGCAAGATACTAGGAAACAATAATTCTCCCAAGGACATCCTGCAGCTGTGAAGTAACGCTGAAAAGTGTTCTCTAAAATCATAGGCAATCAGAGACTTTGCTGCTTGAAGTTCTATCTGTAATTATGAAACCATCTCACTCTTGACTGGATAATATGTCACTTTGAAGAGAAGCTTTCATCTGAGGTACAGCGCTTCAGACAAAGCATTCTGGACACAACTTTACAAATCCACCCTAATAGTTTCCAAGGAAGGGGTCCCTGGGTCTGGCCCTGCTTTACTTAGTAGAGCCTGTCAAAACTCTGCTTTACTTATATTAAAATTTTTTTTCAACGTTTTTATTGATTTTTGGGACAGAGAGAGACAGAGCATGAACGGGGGAGGGGCAGAGAGAGAGGGAGACACAGAATCGGAAACAGGCTCCAGGCTCCGAGCCATCCGCCCAGAGCCTGATGCGGGGCTCGAACTCCCGGACCGCGAGTGACCTGGCTGAAGTTGGACGCTTAACCGACTGCGCCACCCAGGCGCCCCTGATATTTCACCTGAACTGTACCCTTCCCTGGAATCCTTTAACTGTCTTTGCTTTTGTTTGGTGAGACAGACATACCCTGGTGCAGTTTTCCTCATTGTAAGCAATCATTAAACCTGCCTTTGTCAAACTACAGGTTTGTCCCTGGGGTCTTAGGCTATTTGAGCTAGGATAGCATCGATTACCTGAAAATAATGAAATTACCTCATAAGCTTCTTGAGTGGAAGTGGTGTTGCACTATCCTTGGGAGAATTAAGAAAATTGTCCATGAAATCACCTTCTGTATTCAGTGGTCTAGATGAAGATCCATGGTTGAGAAAGGCTCTGTGGCAGTGCTTGGCTCATGCTAGCCCTCCAGCCCATCTCAGGATATTAAGTTTGCATTGGTCCAAGGCCCAGTTCAAATGCCTCGCTACCAATGAAGACTTCACAGATTCCTTCCTCCTTGTTGGATTTCACCTCTTTCGATACTGTTTTTCAGTGGCAGATCAGGGACTCCCTTCACAGCTTTACAGAACCACTCCCTGGGCCTTGTATTTAAATTCCTCAACTACCTACTACTGATCCCTTTTGCCCAGCTTGTGAGGAAGACAGAGACCAAATCTGATTTGTGTCCTGACTCCTGGCAGATAAAGCCTGAGCTCTGGCATGTAGAAAATCAGTGAATATTTGAATTGGTATGAGGCAAGTGCTTCCTTTTTTGCTCTTTAAGAACAGGGTCTTTTCTGTGTTAACAGCCTCCTTCTCCAGACATTTGGTGTGATGACCCTAAGCCAACTGCTTCTGTGCTGGTCATGAACTGCAAGATTGGTCACCCTATACTCAGGAGGTCATCTGTGAGTCTGTTTTGGTCAGCTGACTCTTCTAACTTGGACTTGGTGTCTCTCACGTTCCCGGTCTCATCTGAATCTCTTAGTTGTGGTCTCCACACTGTACTGTAATCAACCCCTTCAGCAGAGCTTAGAGCTGCCAAGTTTGCTCTCAAAGTAGGGAGTGGTGGGGTGGGGTGGGGAGCAAACTGCTCGTTCACCCCCATTACAGCAGAGTGAAGTTGGGAGTAGTATGGGGGGAGCGGCAGACCCAGGGTTACTATTGTGAAGGGAGTCCCTGATCTGCCACTGATGATCTTTGTGCCGTGGGCAAGCTCTGAAGTGGTTTCCTCACCTGTACAAAGGGAATAATGCTGTCTGCCCAGTTTATTCCATATTGACATTGTGAGGCTTACATGGAACAATACATGTGGAAGCATCCTGTGCTACAAAAATGTGAGGAATATTAATTGCTTCCCAGGTCTGTTTAGTTAGTAGGAAGCAATCTGAATTGTGGGTGGTATAGAGAGGAACCATGTGACTTTTTTTTTTTTTTTTTTTAAATAGGCAATCTTTTCAGTAGTTTGGCAGCTAGAAGAGAATGCCTTTCCAAACAGGACAGCCAGTATCACTGTGACAGCCACCAAGTAAGTACTGTCTGTGTCAGAGCAGGTCCAGGCTGTGGCCCTGGAAGAAGTCTCCATCCCGTGCATGTGTGTTAAGAGTTATGGCTCCCTCACTGCTCAGGAAGAGCCTCAGTGAACCCACAAAAAGAACCTATGCTGCTGCAGTGACCTGGCTTTCCCTTCTTGCTATCAGAAATATTGAAAACCTTCTTTTAGTGACACACAAAGCAAAACTATGGTACAGTCTGGTAAATGAGACTTGGACGCAAGTTCTAATTCTGGTTCATTTAACTTTGGAGAAGTTCTGTCATCTGCAAAACTTCTATGTTTGGGGGTGTAGGGTAGTGTTAGGGAAGGGTTCACAAATGGGGATGGTTCTGCCCCTCAGGGGCAGTGCCTGAAAACATTTTTGGTTGCCACAACTTGGAGCAGGGGGTGGAGGGTGCTACTGCTATCTAGTGGGGAGAGGCCAGGGATGCTGCTTAAACATCATACAGGAGGATAGCTTCTCACAAAAAATTATCTGGCCCAAAATGTCAATATTGTCAAGGTTGAGAAACTCTTTTAAAATCAGTGTTTCTCCAAGTATGGTCTTCTGCACTCTAATTACTTATCTTCAAGAGTCTTTTCTTACCTGACCCTCACTGACCCGGAGAAGCCAAGGTATGTAAGTAGCTGTGTACAAAGCAGGTGTGCTGTCAACTGACACTCTTATTTCCTAGTTTCAATGGAAAACAGTCTTTGGTCACAAAGACCCACAGCCTCCAGTTCAAGCATGCCTTCATTGCAGTTCTTCCCAAGTAAGTACTTCCGAGGGGCCAACACCTGCAGGAATTCTCTCTTGTGGCAACTGGTGGTCGGGGTGGATGTGGGCCTTGTCCTTCACTGATAGGAGGCTGCTTAAAGCCCAGGCTCCCACTGATCTCTGGGGCACTAACAGTTGGGTCCTAGAAACACCATGGTAGTTACCAAAGGGGGAGCAGTGCCTGCTGGTCTTGCTACAAAAAGTTACTGGCGTAATGCTAAGGAGGGAAGAGAGGAGCTGTGGCATTGAGAAATAAGGAAAGAGAAAAGTAAGGCCACTCTGAGGAATGATAATTAGACACACACAGAACCAGCCCCAATATACAGAATTCAAATATCCTACCTGATCCCAGCTGCCCTACCGCCACTCTTCATTTTGATATTCAGCTTTGATTCATCTTAAGGATCTGGTACCCTCTTTCTTAGTGTATACAGTTGGTAGTATTCAGGTTCCTTTGAAAGAAGGGGGCCTTGAGGCCTAACTAATATTGTCTCAATTGCAGACCGTCAGTGATATACATGAACACAAGCCAGGGGCTTTCCGTCTACAAAGAATTCTTCTTCAATGTAAGTGCTTAGTGCCTATAATTGCAAAGTTACAGGTGGCAAAACACCAGTTTGATTTCCCACGCTCTGATTTTATTTTGCAGATACATGGGGAAAATCTCTTTGGAGCCGAATTCCAGCTGCAAATTTGTGTTCCAATCAAATTACAAGATCTCCAGATTATAAGAGTGAAAAACGTGACAAAAATTCAGGTACTTAGAGGCATTTCTTTATCATGATCACACCTCTTTTCAAAGTGACTATGGATTCTCAAAGGTATGAAACCAGAGTTCTAGAAAAGGAGTAAAAACATGTTTAGTTAACCTGGGAACACATTGCCAAAGTCATGTTCACAAGAAATATCAACCATTCAGCTCTTAAAGCAACACTTCTGTTTTCCTCCCCTTGGTGAAAAATAAGCAAAAATTCAAACCTTTTTAATACCCATGGGGATACTTACTTTCCCTCTGAAACTGATAAATTCTGCTTGTCTTTGTGACTGGCAAATGAGCTTGATAAACATGAGATATTTCTTGCACTTCTCCCTATAAATTTACCATCTTCCTTTCCTCCCTCCAGTCTATTTCTGCTTTGCTACAGCCTCTTTACTCTCAGTTGACTCTTCATCTGTAGTATGGTTCCCTTATGGTACCTACAGCCACAGGCTCTCATCAGTATGAAAGTTGAGGTCTTTGGCTTTCCTTATTTACTTATTTACTTATTTAGCTCAAGGTACATGAAATGTCAAGGCTCAGAAATGAATATATGGAAAGGCATTTATAGAATGGACTCTGCTGACAGAAAGAGGACTTCTAAATTGTAATCACTTGTTCCCATGTATAGTTTATTTTTAAAGAACATTTGTTAACTTCAGAAACATTTTAGTTTCTACTAGGAAACAAAATTCTTGTTTGAAAAGTTGATTAGAAACATTTAGAATGGGAAATCCACCCTGCTCTGGGGATGAAGGCTGAAAACAGCATCAAGGGCTTTAAGACCAGTACCCTCTCAGTTTGGGCCTGTAAGGCATGTCTGACTTACTTAAACAGACTGTGTTGGCAGAGCAGGTCAGTGGCAGACCTGAAATTCAGCATTGTCCTATAGAAATGCTGGATCTTTCTCTTCATTTGCTTCATGGCGGGGGTGTTACATTTAATCTTGAAGGTCATCTGTTTCAGAATCTTATCTGTGAGGTAATGGAGCCAGAGCACATTATTATAAGGGTGATATTCACCCCAGCAGTTGTTGTTCTCCTTCCTCATTAGCCTGTAGATCTCAAACTGGTAGTCTCCTTCACCTGTAAATAGGTCCTCATCCATGGAAATGTCACAGAACACCACGATCCCATCCCGTTCCAACCGTGACAGGGTGTAGTCAATGATATTGACTTGTAGTCCACGGGTGGGGATAGTGCTCGTGTTCCCGTTGAGGGTGTACTGGAGCTCTTTGAGGCTGGTTTTCTTTAAGAGCACATTCCCCCAGTGTAAGTCTCGGTGCTCAAAGTGCAGGGATGCCTCGGCCACTGCGAGAGATGCTGTGATCTGGTGTAGAATGCTCTTTGCAGTAGCCATGGAGGACAACTTCGTTCTCATTTGCTCTAAGTCAATCCCTCCAAACTCAAATTCCAGCACAATGAAGAGCTGGTCTTCCTCAAAAAAGTCAGGCCGGTCATTTGCAGACCCTTTAGTTGAGTTGTAATGGTCCCAGGCTCTGAGGAGCAAGGGAGGGTAAGATCCTTGAACACAGTGCACCGAATTCAAACCAATAAAGCCTTCTGTACGGTTGTGTATCTCATCAGACAAAAGGCTCAACTCTTTGGAGATGATGATCTCCGGCAGAATTTCCTCAAAAGTTTTCTGATGGGCTCCGTTGACCAAATCTGGTCCTTCAATAGCAATGATTTTTAGGGCAACAGGTGTGTGATTAACAATTGTTTGAAACACTTCACCAAACACCCCTTCTCCAATCTTCTGACAGCATTCCAATTTTTCTGTGGAAAGGCAATTGCTAAAGGGGATAGGGCCCTCCTGATTGCATTCCCCGTAAACCTTTTCAGCATCTGATACCTTTTTGTCTGTGACATGTGGTGTCTTAAGCGGGGTTAGCAAATACATGGAAGAGCAGTTCCAAGGAGACACGGCACTATTTGTTCTGTTCGTAACAGGAGGGTTTGGATATTCAGAGATGAGGGACTCAGAGAGAGAACTGGCAACGGTGTAGCTACTGCATACTTCCGACACAGCAGTCACCATCTTCTTCTTGTGGAAACTGAAGGAAGCCCTGGCTTTGGTCCAAGAGGCATTCTGTAAATGAGTCAGGTCCTGGGTGAGGGATGAGTCTTTTTCCCTCTTTTGGTCCCTCTTAAACTGGTGGTAATGGAGAAGGGAGGTTTCTACTGTTTCCTGCAGTTTCCTTTTTCGACTAGGCCCAGTTCTCTCAGGCCTGTTGATTTCCCCAGGTACAATACAGCCCTTGCAACCATCTGCCTCCTCGGAGTCTATCTGGGCAGCCCCTTGAGACCCAATCTGTTGACAACAGCCCTGGTCTGTGGCCCTCTTCTTACCCATGCTTGAAAAACCTGGCCTCTCCAGCCTCTTCCCCGTCTGTTCCATTTCACAGCAAGACTCCCTCATATTCCTCCCAACTGCCCCACTCTCAGAATCCTCAGGGTTTCCAGAGTCCGTGACACTAAAGAGAGCTGACCTGAGGTTGGCATGGGCTGGGTGGGCCAACCTAGTGAACCTGCCTCCTCCTGTTGCTGCCTCCTGGAGGCGGTGGAGGGATGCTGGGTCCAGGGAGGCTGCTGGGAGGTGCAAGCCACTCGGAACTTCAGAGGCTGCATCGAAAGAGGCGGCGGGGCCGGTCCCGAGGACACTGTCTCCTGGCGCTGGGAGGCCGGGGCCAGGAGAGGCCAGACTGCTGAACAGGGAGGCACTGGTGCCCAGCTCGCCGCCGTCCCCGGGCCGGCTGCACGCACTGAGGTCCGGGCTCAGTAGGCACGGGTTGCCGTTAGAGAAGGGCGGCGGTTCGAGCGGCCCGCAGGGGGTGCTGCAGTTCTGCGGAGGCCGAGCTCGCAGCCTCAGGCGTCTTGGGGTCGCGATCAGACTCGGCCGGTCCTCGGAGACTCGACCGCCAGGGCCCCTCCGCCGTCGGCCCACCGGAAAGCCGAGGAAGTCTGGGTCGTCGGGATCGTCCGAAGCGATAGAGCGCGAGGGGCCGCCGCTGCTGGCGTCGCTGCTACTGCTGCTGCTGAATAAACGCTTCCGGTCTTTCGGCGGGAACCACTGCGCCGCTGCCCTGCCGGGTCGCCGCCGCGGCCCCCCGCCGCCCGCAGCCCCATACGTTCGGAAGAGCCGATTCCCAGGTCGCGGGAGCGACGCCGCCATCGTCGGCACCCGCCCAGAGGTTCAAATGCAAACACCGCGAGACTTCCTGAAGGCAGAAGCGCTCGCCAGCTAGGCTGCCGGGTCCTAGCGTCCGGCCATGCGCATGCGCATCACGATGGGTCTCGCCGGGGCTGGGAGAGGGCGGGTAACTGATAGTTTGGCGTCCTCATATCCGCTGTGGAATGGCTCTCGTTTCAGGACCACACTCTGTGCAGCCAGACTCAGGTGGAAAGGTGCGGAAGCGATCCTGTTCAGGTGAGCGCGGCCTTCCCGAGAGGCCGAGGGAGGGAAGAAGTGCTTGAAGCGGGTGACGTGAGAGGTCCGATGCTCCTTTCCCCGACGTTTATTCCTGAAAACATGCAGGGCGGCCTCAAGGCGCTCCTTAGCCTCTTCTCTGGGTAACGTTAGCCATCTCTGTGGCTTTGCTTGAGCCAAGGTGAGGGCTGAAACTGTATACACCCTCTCTTCTGGTATCTGAAGGTGCCCTGCGTGCTAAGTGTTAAAGCTTTCATCTTTTGCACTCAAAAAGGGATTGTGCTAATTATAACCAGAGTTTCCTTTTCAGCATGGGAAAAAATGGCATTCAGTGAGCTGTGTCATCACTTCAAATAAGGAAAACGTAACGGTGGCTGCAGAACTCTACTTGAGTCAATTTCAGCAGGTACTTGAGATGGTGAAATGCTCCAGATGTGACTCGTTCCTCGCGTGCATCTCCTATCTCTTGGAGAAAAATTAATGGCATCGCAAATGTAACATGTCCAAAACAGGTGTCTCGATCTACTTTTTGCCTCAATCTGTTCTTTACTCAATTACTTGGGGTAACTTAGTAGGGTAACTTACTCTAGTTATTTGTTTTAGGAAATACTTGTGACTCCTTCCTTTCCTACATCCCCATATCTATTACAGCAGCAAGCTCTATCATTCCACCTCCGAAATGTATTCTAAATCCATTCACTTCTTTCCATCTCCACTGCTACTGTTGTAGTTCTGGCCACCATCTTTTGCTCCAGCTATTACAGTAACCTGCCTTTTCCTCTTGTCTGCGCTCTTGCCATGGCCTCTACAAATCTTTCTTCACATAGCAGCTATTTTAAAAGTAAACATTGTGCCACGCCTCTCCAAAAAAAAAAAAAAAAGTGACATTTGAATACACCTAGACTAGGGCCGCCTGAATGACTCAGTCAGTTGAAGGTCTGACTCTTGATTTCAGCTCAGGTCATGATCCCAGGGTCGTGGGATTGAGCCCCATGTTGGGCTCTGCGCAGAGCGTAGAGCCTGCTTAAGATTCTTTCCTTCCCTCTGCCCCTCTCCCCAACTTGTGCGTGTGCTCTCTCCAAAATATTTTTTAACAAATTAATTAAAAAATGAATACTTCTAGACTAAAACACATACTTTTTCAGTGGCCTGCAAGGTACTGCATGATCTACTCTTTGCTACTTCAACTTTATCTCCTAGTACTCTCCTCTTTCCCACTTTTTAAAAAAAAAAAAGTTTATTCATTTATTTTGAGAGAGAGAGAGAGGGAGGGAGGGAGGAGGAAGGGCAAAGAGCGAGGGAGAGATAATCCAAAGCTGGCTCCACACTGTCAGTCAGCATAGAGCCTGATGCGGGGCCTGAATTCACAAATTCCGAGAACATGACCCAAGCTGAAATGGTTGGATGCCCAACCAACTGAGCCACCCAGCCACCTTTTTTTAAATATTTATTTTTGAGAGAGAGAGCGAGCATGGGAAGGGTAAAGAGAGAGGGGGACAGACGATCTGAAGTGGGCTCTGTGCTTACAGGAGAGAGCCCAAAGCAGGGCTCAAACTCAACAAAACTGTGAAGTCATGACTTGAGCTGAAGTCACATGCTTAACTGAGCCACCCAGGGCCACTCCCCTTGCCACTCCCCACTTCTTATACTCCAGATATTGTCCTTTCTCCAATATTGTTCTGGCCACATGATCTTTGTACTTGCTGTCCCTTCTGCATGACAGTGCTTTTCCCCTGTATCTTTATGTGCATGGTTTCTTATAATTAGCTCAGGCATTACCTTAGAGAGGCCTTCCCTGATCACTCACTCTAAAGTGGGAAATAGGAGGATCGAGTGTAACACCTCACAGTGATCCAGATGAGAATGATGAGATCTGAACTGAAGGAGTAGCAATGAGGGTTGGAGAAAACAGACAGATGAGAGAAAGAACAAAAAGGAGAATTGTCAGGAACTGATTCGGGGCTGGTGAATGGTGTTGTGACATGAGGTAAAGTGCAAAGGAAAAGCAGTTGGGGAACGATTGCAGGATACTTGCTTGGGTAACTGTGGTTGCCAAGACCACTAACTAGACAAAGGAATACAGGAGGAGGAACACATATAAAGGAATAGATGCTGTTCAAAAATAGTAAGTCCATGTCTAAAATATGTTTTATCTACCCTCTATCTTATAGTTACAGAGAGATGTAAATGAACTGCAGATCCTTGGTGAAATAACTTTCAACAAATCTCTGTATGAGGGGCTGAATGCAGAGAACCACAGAACTAAGGTAATCCCTGGCTGTATTCTGTTGTTCTGGACAGTGTCCTGGGGAAACTGTGCCTAGCCTTAGAGCCCCTGTACCAGCACTCTTCCTGTTTTCAGTCTTAACACCTCTGATCTTGACTCTACCACGAGCTGCCTCTGTGACCTTGAATTAGCCAGCATCAACCTCCATTTTTCCATCTGTGAAATGAAGCAATTGAGTAAGAGGCTTAGGCTGAAATAACTAGGCTGAAATCAACAGCTATGTATACTTTGATTTGAGAGTGTATTGTATTTTTAAAATTTGCCGAGTGAGAAATTATTTTTTTGTATACATTAATTGCCTTCCTCGTGTGTAGTATTGTTTAGTTATGGTATTAACCAGTTACAATACTCAGGAATGCATGATTCTTTTATAAATCTTAAACTAAATACTGGAACACTTGGGATTTCTTTTGCAAAAGTGTGACCACAAATCATACTAATGTCTGTGATCTATGGGCTAAATGCTGTGTGTGCTACTCTGAGCTGTCATTCTTGTTGACACTTAACCTAGATGTGCTCCTGGCTTGAGAGAGAATCCATCTGTGGGCCCTTTAGTCAGGCATGATCATTACTGGAGGGGATGTCAAGAAAATGAGCTGGATTGCTAAATGTTAGGTTCTCTGATTTCCTTCCTGGGGGACGAGAAACGAACAGTTCTCTAGACATGTCAGAAATAACACTTTTCTTTTTAACTATTTCCAATACAGAAAATTATATGGGGGAAAGAGAAGTGCCCCATTGTCCCACTGCCTAGATTAAAAAAAATAGAAGAGCAAGAAAATCCAAGCCTTACAGAAAAATATCAAATGAAAAATAATGGTTCCTTCATTCCCCCCCTTTCCCATGCCCCCAGCTCCTTCTTCCCAAAGGGTGTTATGGTTAACAGTTTCTTATATGCACATTTGTAAATTATTTATTTCTTCCTCTTGCTGATGGCTTTTATTTCTATACATAGATTCCTTATAATTATTTTCCTTTCTTTAAATTCAATACCCTAAGCAAAGTGTTAAGTTGTTCCTGACAATAAGCAACAAGGGTAGAATGAACCTGTGAGTATAAATACCTATGTATCCAAGTGCGTTTCATTTGCACGTAAGGGAAAACTCCCACTAAGGTACCATAAGGGCATCTGTTGTTTGTCTGGTCAACGGCCTGGCTCCCTTGAATCTTGTGCCCTTCCATCTGTGTTGGTGATACCTTCCCTTGTGGCCAGCACAAAGCTACCACCTCTCCAAGTGCTGCGTTTTCATGTGTCAGGATACAAAATAAGAAGCAAGAGATCAGTAGCAAATCTTCCCTTTGTAGGAAGGGAAATTTTCCTAAAAACTCCCAGCAGCTGTCTCCTTACATCTTGTCAGTGAGAACTGGATCTCATGTCAGTCACTGGCAAAGGGGAATAGCTCTGTCATGATTGGCTTAGATCAGCCATGATTTCTGATAGAAAATTCAAAAATTCAGTGTTCAGCTGCAAGCAGTAGGTACCCTGTGTCCCGCTTCTCCTTCACCTTTACCAGGGTAGCTTTGGGGTACCTTTGGAACCTGTGGGTTTAGAAGAGGAAAAGGGGAAGAGGCTTTGAGAAAGAGGAGCATTTCTTTTACTCAGATCTGGCCTGTTATACCACTATGACCTTGGGATTTCCTTTCATTATTTTCCTAAACCCATACTCTCAAGTCCTTCCCCCTGCTACCCCCCCCCCCCCCACTTCACTCTTACATAGAAGAAAAACCGGCTCTCTTCCTGTTCTTCCTCCCTGTCTGTTGCTTTGCTCCCTCTCTGTTGTCAAGGCCCAGAACTTACACCTGTTAAGCTCAGCTCCGTCTGAATTAAATAGTTGCCTGGAGGGTCAACCCTAGGAAGTAACCAGTTTATAACTTAATTGGAGGAGGCCTTAAAGGAGTAAATTTGTCCATCTTTCCAACTCATACAGCACTTATCCCTGACCTTGTTGCTTAGACACTTGCATGAAAGGACTCAGTGTTTTGGGCAGGCAGAGAAGTCTTGATGGCCCTCTGGCCCCACTTAAGTCCTGGGAACATACTCTGGGCATGGTCTGTATGCTGGCCACAGCTTGGGAGGGCCATAAATGGGTCTCGGGAAGCAACATCCGCTGAGCTTTCCGGCTGAGTCCTGTTAGTGAGAAGAGAGCTTAGACTCTTGAGATTGAGACAGCCTTTAGACGACAATGCTGGGGATGCTTCTAATACAAGAACTCTGTAAGTACACTTGACCCTTGAACAACCTGAGGGTTAGAAGTGCCGGCTCCCCACATAGTCGAAAATCCATGTATAACTTTTGACTCCCCAAAGACTTAACTACTAATAGTATAACGTTGACTGGATGTCTTATTATAATATTATATTATATACTGTATTCTTATAATGAAGTAAGCTAGGGAAAAGAAAATGTTAAAGTCATAAAAGATACATTTATAGTACTATATCACAAATAAATCTGCATATAAGTGGACCTACACTGTTCAAGCCTGTGTTGTTGAAGGGTCACCTGTAGTATACATGGATGCCATTTTGCATTCATTATCATATCTGAACATATACTTTAGTTTGGTGAAGAGCGGACCAGTGTCTTTGTCATATTTCATGTGGGACAAACGTGTTATCAGACTTTAGGGGTTTGTGCCCTAAGGTCAAAAAGAGCTGTCAGAATGATGTCAGAACAGAGTTGGAAAGGACTTAGAGATCATTTAAAATAAGTCATCATTAGCACTAGGTGTTGTATGGAAACCAATTTGACAATAAATTTCATATATTGAAAAAAAAAATTCTCTGCTCTAAAAAAAAAAAAAAAAAAAAATAGGTCATCATTTTGAAGATGATGAGCTGGGGGCCCAAGGACACAGAGTGGCAGAGCTGGATGTAAAACTGATTTTCTTTCAGTGTTCTCTCAAACCTAGAGACCAGTCCCTTGGGACCTCTGTTAAACTGTCAGATAATCCTTAACAGATCTCCTGACTGACCAAAATAGTGTAAAGTGTTTTGTTCTTTACATAATTTTGTTGTGCTGTTGGTTTTTTGTTTTTGTTTTGTTTTTTTTGGGGGGGGGTTGTTATTTTTTTTTCCTCCAGTTTTTGTTCTCTTTGCTTTTCGAGGATTTTTTTTTGTTTTTGGTACATCTGGCTCAGAGATTCTTTCTTTGGCCATGTCCAGTCTTTTTTTTTTTTATTGAGCCCATCAAAGGCTTTCTTCATTTCTGTTACAGTGGTTTTTTTATCTCTAGCATTTCTTTTTGGTTCTTTCCTGGGATTTCCATCTCTCTTTCATTGCCTATCTGTTCTTTGTCTTTGTTCTTGCATGCTGTCTACTTTATCTGTTAGAGCCCTTAGCATGTTAATCATAGTTGTTTTAAATTCCAAGTCTGATGATAATTCAAATGCCTTTCCGTGTCTGCTTCTGAGGCTTGCTTTGTCTCTTCAAAATGTTTTTTGCATCTGGATATGTTTTATGATTTTTTCTTTCTTTCTTTTTTCCTGGTAATTTTTTTTTTTCCTGATAACCAGATACGATGGACCAGGTAAAGGAACTGTTGTAAATAGGTCTTTAGTGATGTGGTGGTGAGGTGTGGGGGAGGGGAAGGAGGAAGTGCTTACGTGCTCTACCATCCTGTGATTAGATTTCAGTCTTTTAGTGAGCCCATGCTCCTGTGCTGTGAACCTACACCTCTGGGCTGTGAACCTCAGAAGTATTTCTCATTTTTTTTTTCAGTCCCCTTAGGTGGGACAGGATACCTAGAGTTGGGTATTTCTCTTACCCTGGGTCAGTTAGGCTCTTAGCAGGTTATGCTCCAATTAACTAGTTTCCCCCGATGGCAGGCCAGAGTGCTCTGGCCTATTTCAAAATGGTTCCTTTTCTTCTCCCCTTGCCAGAAGCATCAAGGGATTTTTCTCGAGTATTTACTGTAGGAATCTGGTCAAGCTCCTAGAGGAAAACCTTATAGCATTGTGGAGGCTCCCATATGACTGGGTTCCCAGGAGGTTTTAACTCTGAGAGTTGTCAGTACTGAACTTCTCATGATTAATTCATGAATTACAGATTGGGTTTTCCTATCCCAGCGCTGGGAAGCCTCTACTGCCTGTATTTATCTATCTGTCTCGCTAATCTTGGGGGCAGCAGTTTGCCAAGTATCCTCCCCTCTCTTAGGGCGCCAAGAAGAGTTGTTGCTTTTTCAGTCTGTTCAGCTTTTTACTTGTTAGTACAGAGTGGCACCTACCACGCTCTCTACATGTGGAACCAGAAACTGAAAGCCTCGTTAGGTAATTTTAGATGCTGCATCAGGAAACTTTAGCTTTTTCCCTTACTGTCATCAGTCTTGGTCAATATACAGAATGTTGCCAAGTTCTCATATTTTGCTCCTTAAAATAACATGTGGAATTTTTTTCTCATCTGCTTTAGGAGACTTATTGGATGATCTCTGTATCTTGTTCTAGATCACTATCATCTTCCTGAAAGAGAAGGAGTATTTGCGCCTCATCTTTATAAGCAGTGCTGGTGGCCTTCTGGTTTTGATTGTGATTATAATCACCCTTTTCAAGGTCAGTTCTACTCATGTGAAGTATTAAGATACAGAGATTTTCCTAAAATGGATTTGATGGTCATTCCCCTATTTTAAATCCTTTACTTTCCTTCCCCTGTTTTAACGTTCAGACATTTTTTTTACTGCTTTCAAGATCCTCACTCTCCAGCCTTTACCCTTCTCAACTCTTAAGTCTTGCTTTTTCCTCCAAACACGTGTAACTAAATAGGTTTGTGTCTGTGTGCTTGCTGTCTATACTGCCGTCCCCCCACCCCGATGCCCTTTCCCACCTTGCTCACACTCTTCCCTTAAGACCCAGCCCAGAGATTCCTCAATCCTCTGAGCTATGTGCTTTTCCTGTGAGCTACTTTCTGGAAACCCTTCCGGGTGTCAGTCATCACACTGTATTATAATTATTTCTGTTCCTAGTAGATTGTGAGTTTCCCTTTTATTTTTTTCCTCAATTTTTTTTTTTTATAATTAAATAATCTCTATACCTAACATGGGGCTTGAACTTAACAACCCTGAGATCAAGAGTCTCATGCTTTACCAACTGAACCAGCCAGCTGCCCCTAGATTGTGCATTTCTTGCTGTAGGAGGCCATACTGTCTGTAGTAGGCTGAGTATTTTTATATAACTAAGATCCATTATAGCCAAAATTATAATATTTTGCAGAATTAGTTAAGTTAAAAAAAGGTTAAGGAGCAGGGCACCTGAGTGGCTCAATGGGTTAAGTGTCTGACTTTTTTTTTTTTAATGTTTACTTATTTGAGAGAGAGAGAGAGAGACAGACTGTGACCTGGGGTGGGGCAGGGGGAGAGACAGAGGGAGACACAGAATCCAAAGTAGGCTTCAGGCTCTGAGCTGTCAGTGCAGAGCCTGATGTGGGGCTCAAACTCGTGAACCACAAGATATGACCTGCGCCGAAGTTGGACACTTAACTGACTGAACCACCCAGGCACCCCATTAAGTGCCTGACTCTTGATTTTGGCTCAGGTCACGATCCTAGGTCATGGGGTCAAGGCTTGCATTGGGCTCCTCACTGAGCTTGGAGCCTGCTTGAGATTCTGTGTCTCTCTCTCTTTTTCTCTTTCTCTTTCTCTTTCCTCTGTTTCTTCTCTACTCAAACATGCTCTGTCACTCAAATTTAAAAAAAAAGGTTAAGGAGGTTTGGGGTTTCAGAGGAAGGTGGAAAATCACTTCTGACTGGAGAATGAAAAGGCTTGTGGAAAGGTAGCATTTTAAGACTGATCTTGAAGGATCGGATTATCAGGGAGAAATTCAGAGGAGGTGTGAGAAGTTCTAGAGAACTAGATGACGGTTTTCTAAAACAGATGGGTATCTTAGGCCTATAATGGGACTTCCCCTCCTTTGTTTTAGTTTGGCTTTTTTAAAAGAAAATACCAGCATCTGAACTTGGACAGCACACGGAAGGCCTCGCTGAAATCAGAGAATCTGCTCACAGAAGAAAATTAGGACCAGCTTCCTCATCCATTGGGAGAGAACATCAGCTAGTCCTTCAAGTTCTAGAGACTTGGTGTCATTACTTTTTTTTTTTTTTTTAAGATGATCTAGAGCAGAATCTAACAAATTGTTAATGGAACATTGTTTTTTAACCATACACTGTCCCCAGAGTGTCTGTGTATTGTGCAGAAAATAAACTTGGGAAACATTTGAAATTAAATAAAATTAAATTTTCCTTTAAAGAAGTGCCTTTAATACAGAAATATACTTTGTGATATTTTTTTTCTCCAAGAGGAGGTATAGCAATTTCCAGCCTTATTTGCCTAAGAATACTTTTTTCTTGGCGTTTCCATTGATGTCTCCCAACATAGTGTTCTACAAAGTACATCTTGGGGGGACAGTGGTCAAAAGATCCTGGCATTTTCAAGATCCTAAGATGTGGCCTATTACTTCAAATCAGAACACAAAAAAAGCACGCCTGGAACAAATGTAAAAAGTAGAAAAACAGAGGTCACCAAAACAGGAACTAGAAGGTGAGGAGAAAAGCAAGACTGTTCTGTAATTTCATTTCTGTTGTATGTATGAATACATCTATTTAATGCACCGTGCTAATCCTTACCCAGCTTCCTGCTCAGTGAATTGCTCAGGGAGACTTCTGTTCCTTGGTAAATACTGTCACCAGGAGAGAGCATTCTTCCACAGGAGGAGATGGAACCTGGCCTGGGAGTTGGGGGCACAGAGATGAGGGCCTAGTTACAGGCCGGCTTCGCTCTTAGTATCTTATTTTATTTTTATATCCCTTGCTGTCAAAACTTGGCCCCATCTCCCCACTTTTAACCCTGCAATGGAACAGTCTTTGTTTTCATGGATCATAAAAGTCACTGCAATAAATTAAATGGTGTATCAGTATATAATGTAGAAAGATATCCTTGTCTTCTTGATCTAATTCAGATGCTTTCGTTATTTTTTTAATTTTTAATTTTTTCTGAAATGTGTGTGTGTATAAAGTGCAAATTAGGGACTGAGTTTTGCTTTTTGTTTTGTTTTTCTCCCAGAAGCATAACGAACTTTCACAGCACCATTAACTGAAATAACCACCTCCTTTTTGCTTATTCACGCTCTCCCATTTCGCAGGGGCTAAAAGGCTTCAAACATCTCCCAGACTCCTTTGAGGTGGGTTTCTAATTTCGATTTTGCCAGTGAGAGGCACTTGAATGAGAGTGGAAGGTGGAAAGATAGGAGGTCTTTCTTTTGGTTGCGGCAGCAGTGGTGGAGGCAGGTGAGTACAGACCCCTGAGCGTCAGTGCGACTGCACGGCCCCTCCCTGCAACTCCCGACCTCTGGGTGATACCAACTCTCCCGTTTTTATCTCCCAGCTCTCCCAACAGATTTGAAACACAACTCTCATTAGTAAATCCCTTTCTGCTTGAAATATCTAGAGTGGTTTCTGTTTTCCTGTTGGCCTTGAGTCTAACTATATTATTTCCAGTGAATAACAGCTGTCTCTATGTCATTTAATGAAATGTCCATTAATAAATTAAAATTCTGCTGTTACTACTCGTGAAATTCCTATGAATGCATATAAATTCTGGAAATTTAATTTTGTTTCACTGATCTGTTTGTTCCCGTACCAGTACCACAATTGAACACTTTTTAGCATTATGCAAACGATAAATTCTAAACAGCACAAAGGTATCTAAAAAATAAAAAGTTAGTCTCCCTCTCCTCTCCACCTCCAATCTCTTTCCAAAAGCAACCACTGTTAATACGTTTTTAGATATTCTTTAAAAATATTCCTCTGCATATACCAGCATATGCATATCCATGTATGGATATAGGAATTAGATTGTATAGATTGTTCTCCCTCCTACTTTTTCATCTTATGGATTTTAGGCATCTTTTGGTAGCAACCTCTGCAGATCTACCCCATCCTTTTTAACAGTTCCATGATACACTGCATTGTATTTACCTAACAGATCCCTACAAGTGGATATTCAGGTTGTTTCTATTTCTTTCCTTCTTTTTATTACAAAGAAAGGATGTGTGATGAACATCTCTAAACACGTATCCTCCCTGGTGTGCTTTTCAGGTATGTCGATGGGTAAGTTCCTAGCACAATCACTGGCTCCGAGATGACGTGCATTTAAAATTTTGATAGACGAAATAAGTCATGGGAACGAAAGGTACAGAACGGGGATTGTAACCAGTGGCATTGTGACAGCACTGTATGGTGACACACGGTAGCTACACTTGTGGTGGGCACAGCAGAACATGTAGAGTTGTTGAATCACCGTCGTACGCCTGAAACGAATATAACATTGTCAGCTACACTTCAATTCAGTTGTTTTTGATGATGACAACCTCCAAAAGGTTTCTACCAGTTGACACCCCCACTCAGAGAATATCAAAGTGCCACCGTGTCCATTGCCACCAGCTGGGCATCATCACATTTTCACTATTTTGCCAACCTGATCATTGTGGAAAATGGGATTCTGTTTTTGATACCAGTTTTCATTATAACTTTGCAGTAAACTGTGATACCTGATAGGACATTTTCATTCTTAAGAAAAATTACTGCTTCTATTCTTTCAGATAATTCTTAATATCAGTGTTTCAGATTCCTAAAAGAAAACCTTTGAGGTTTTAATTTAAATGTACAGATTAGGTTGAGGCACCTGGGTGGCTCAGTCGGTGAAGCGTCCAACTTCAGCTCAGGTCACGATCTCGCGGTCCATCGGTTCGAGCCCTGCGTCGGGCTCTGTGCTGACAGCTCAGAGCCTGGAGCCTGTTTCAGATTCTGCGTCTCCCTCTCTCTGACCCTCCCCCGTTCATGCTCTGTCTCTCTCTGTCTCAAAAATAAATAAACGTTAAAAAAAAATTAAAAAAAAATAAATAAATGTACAGATTATGTTGAGGAGAACTGCTTTCTTTACGGCATTATTTTCTTACTCAGAAATAAGACATTTCTCCACTCGCTGAGATTTTTGAAAACACCCTGCAGCAAGGTTTTATAATTTCTTTCAGAGATCTTAATTTATGAAGACTTTTATTTCCAGCTGTATTGTTGTTTTTTTTAAGTTTATTTTTGAGAGAGAGAGAGAGCGCATGTGCACACATGCCAGCAGTGGAGGGGCAGAGAGACAGAGAGAGAGACAGAGACAGAGAGAGAGAGAGAGAGAGAGAAAATCCCAAGCAGGCTCTGCACTGTCAGCACAGAGCCCGATATAGGACTTGAATTCCCAACTGTGAGATCAGGACATGAGCCAAGAGTCAGATGCTTAACTGACAGCCGCCCAGGATCCCCTATATTATATTTTTTATTGCTACTGTGAAAAATGTCTTTTTCCCCTGGCTGATTATAGACCTTGTATTTAGAAAATTTGTTCTTTTGAATATCTTATCTGGCCATCTTACTGAACTCTGTTTTTTTTAAATAGCTTTTTAGTTGATTCTCTTGGATTTTCAAAGGAGAAAATCCTGTCTGGAAATAATGGTGATTTGGAGGACGCCTGGGTGACTCAGTCAGTTAAGTGTCCAACTTTGGCTCAGGTCATGGTCTCGCGGTTTACGAGTTTGAGCCCCACATCAGGCTCCGTTCTGACATCTCGGAGCCTAGAGCCTGCTTCAGATACTCTGTCCCCCTCTCTCTGTGCCCCTCCTCCACTCATGCGTGTGCTCTCTCTCTCAAAAATAAATAAATGTTAAAAAAAAGAAATAATGGTGATGTGGAGTCTTTCTTGTATTTGTACTCTTTTTCACCCTTATTTCTTTGACTAGAACTTGTAGAGCTCTGGGAAGTTAACTTTGCCTGATGTTAATGGGATTGCTGTGTGTACCCTCCACTGTCTGCCTCACAGCCTGCCCATGGTCTCACTCCCTGCCACTCTGCCTTTGGCAATTTCTGGGGCTTGGTTGGAGAACCCATCCACTTCTCATGGAGCCTCTTATGTTACCTGTGTTAAATCACTGGCTCTTTAGCGTGATCAGCTTTTCTGCTGATCTGATTCCATCTGCATCACTTCTTCCAGGAATTCCTTCATATTTTTGGTTCCTTTATTGTATCATTCTCCGTTTCCAATGCTACTGTGGACTTCTTCCCTCTTTACATTTCTTGAGTTACTTCAGAGGATTTGCCTTTGAAGGCAAAGAAAGAAGTAAGTTTGCTTAGATATTTTCCTATTGTTGGATCCAGGAGTTATGTCCAAGTTTGCAGTGTTTTAGGTGATTTGCAGCCCTTGGATTTATATTTTTTTAAAAAATTATTATTATGGGGCGCCTGGGTGGCTCAGTCGGTTAAGCATCCGACTTCGGCTCAGGTCATGACCTCACGGTCCGTGAGTTCGAGCCCCGCATCGGGCTCTGTGCTGACCGCTCAGAGCCTGGAGCCTGTTTCAGATTCTGTGTCTCCCTCTCTCTCTGCCCCTCCCCTGTTCATGCTCTGTGTCTCTCTGTCCCACAAATAAATAAACGTTGGGGCGCCTGGGTGGCGCAGTCGGTTAGGCGTCCGACTTCAGCAAGGTCACGATCTCGCGGTCCGTGAGTTCGAGCCCCGCGTCAGGCTCTGGGCTGATGGCTCAGAGCCTGGAGCCTGTTTCCAATTCTGTGTCTCCCTCTCTCTCTGCCCCTCCCCCGTTCATGCTCTGTCTCTCTCTGTCCCCAAAATAAATAAACGTTAAGAAAAAAATTTAAAAAAAAATTATTATTACAAATAAGATCCTACTCCCATTATAACAGTCAAACCTTATATTGACCACCTATGAGCTATTGACTGAGCTGTGCTGATCTGATTGGAGTTAAACCAATGCAATTGTAGTCAAGAGACTGTGTAAGGGACCAGTCTGAGAAGGGAAAGGACTATTATAAACAGAGACATGATTAGATTTTACAAATTCATCTGCTATAGCTTGGGCCAAGGCCTTTATTCTAAAAGATGCTTTTCTAGTGCCAGGCATTTTCCATTTCCCGTTCATCCTCCTCCTCCTGAGAACAGGAAGTGCCAAAGCTTGTATAGATACAAGGACAATGGGTTATGGCCGCTGTCTTGACCAGATAAGGATCAAGATGGAGTCAGCTTGACACTAGCATGGGGAAAATGCCCCTTGTGATTTCTCTGTTTTCATTTCCCCCGTTAACACCTAGTGAGCACAGATTCAAATAACCTTTTTCTCTTCTGAAAACATCTGAACTTTGGTTGTTGAAGAAGGCATGACATCAAGCAGATGTGAAAACCTTAATCTGGCAAGCTTGTTAGGCCTAATTAAATTTTGAGAAAGGATGCTTCATATGGCAAAGCTCAGCAGTCTCACATTATCCGTATATAGTGAAAGGTCTATGCACATTTTCTGTACCCTTACAAGAAGGGAAATTAGCTATTTTAGGGATATAGGTATTTTGGGGTCTCCTAGCTATAATTAGTAATGGTAAGCCTTGTAATAGTGCCAGAATTTTACCATTTTTTTTTTTAAGATTTTATTTTTAAGAAATCTCTACACCCCACGTGGGGCCTGAACTCACAACCACAAGATCAGTAGTTGCATGCTCCACCCACCGACTGAGCCAACCAGCCACCCCTACCATTATTTTCACAACAGATTTAGTGGGGCGTCTGGGTGGCTCAGTTGGTCAAGCCTCCTACTTCGGCTCAGGTCATAATCTTGCTGTCTGTGAATTCGAGCCCAACAGTGGGCTCTGTGCTGACAACTCAGAGCCTGGAGCCTGCTTCGGATTCTGTGTCTCCCTTTCTCTCTGTGCCCCTCCCCTGCTCATGCTCTGTCTCTCTCTGTCTCTCAAAAATAAATAAACCTTAAAAAAAATTAAAAAAACACAACAAAACAGATTTATTAAATGGAATCAAGGGAAACATTTAATCACTTTAGGAAGAGTAGTTCTAGTATCAGAGGTCAGGAAGTAGCTGGACGCACCTAAATAGACAATTTCCAACTTCAGTTAAATTGACTTTGATTAGTGGAAGTATATTTTGGAAAGTACATAACTAATAACACTCTCACAGTAAGATCATAGTGAAAAGTGAAAAACTGCCTTTGTCACACCCTGCCCCACCCTGTGGCCCTCCTTAGAAGCTGAGGTGAACTGGTGTGGTGTACATCCTTCCAGGCTTTATCCTGTGCATTTGTAAATATTCACATAAATACGTATATAGTACATAGTTTTGGGGTTTTGCTTTGTTTTCCTTCTTTTTTTTTTAAATAGCATTATATAAATTTTTTTAATGTTTATTTTTGGGAGAGACAGAGCACAAGGGGGCAGGGACAGAGAGGGAGACACAGAATCCAATGCAGGCTCCAGGCTCTGAGCACAGAGCCTGATGTGGGGCTCGAACCATGAACTGTGAGATAGTGACCTGAGGCAAAGTTGGATGCCTAACTGACTGAGCCACCCAGGCGCCCCTGTTTTCTTTTACATAAATAGAATCATATATTTTGCCATTTGTGAGAATTTGTGACCATTTTCAAGGAACCAGTGTCAGAGAAAAAAATGCTGCTGACAAATGTAGGTGGAGGGGATGGGGAGAAGTGACACCTTGGTCTAGTGTGTCTTTGGGGAATTAATGACTGTGCAGAGCTCTTTACAGTATAAACTGTAAAGAGACCCTTTCAACTTTTCCAAAAGTGGAATTAAAGACATTTTTGTAATTGCTATATGTTGCCAAATAGCTTTCCAGAAGGACTGAGCCATGTTACATGGTTATCAGCAGCATGAACATGTCCTGGGATCTCTGTTTTTACTTGACTTATTTGCTTAATGGATATATAATCATAGCTTTAGTTTACCTTACTTTGTTGGCAAGACCATGTACTTTCCCATGAAATAAGAAGACGTCTTTTTGGGGGGGACGCCCAGGGCTAAATCGGTTAAGCATCTGACTTCGGCTCAGGTCATGATCTCGCGGTTCCTGGGCTTGAGCCCTGCATCAGGCTCTCTGCTGTCAGTGTAGAGCCCACTTCGGCTCCTCTGTCCACCCACTCTCTGCCCCTGCCTGTCTCTCTCTCTCAAAAATAAGTAAACAACAACAACAACCACAAAAAAGATGACTTTTTTGTGCCCTCTGTGCTTTACTTTCTTGTCCAGTTCAAATATGGCCTTGGTTCCTTCTCATTAGCTCCTCTGGACTGCACCATCTTCTGGGATAGAAGTAAGAGGTGTATTTCTCCCTCTGAACTTTGGAGCCTCTGGGTGAGTAAGGATGCTTTGACTCAGATAGAATTGGAGCAGTGTGACCTCCAGAAATGGGAGAACTGAGTTGTGCAGATTTACCGGTGGGCATCAGGAAGCACTAGTCCTTCCTGGTGGTCTGTCTGAAAGAGGAACTCTTCCCAAGTACCACAAAGGAGCCAGGACCATGGTTCCAATGTCCAGGAGAGCCAGTTGGAGGCTCTGTTCCTCCCCCTCCCTCCTCCCTGAAAGAAGTTCTGGGACCCCATAGCCAGTTGCAGTCCTGAGGGCAGAGTTGGGGGGCGAGTGGCTGGTGATTGAAGACGTGTCTCTGGGAATGTCTTCTCTTCTGTCTAGGGCCTGGGAAAGGGGCCCGGACTTGCCCTGCCTGGTGTGCCGGCAGATGTTCTCGTGATCTTGGCTTTGGTTTCTGGGATTTGACTAGTGTCCTACTTTGGGGTAATCTTTTCTCTCTTCAGAGCTGTGAGTGAGGTGTAAGATTAAGGTTGAAAGGCTGAGGTGGGAGAAAACACCACTGACCCACTTTGATTCTGCAAAACTTTGAGATTTCCTAGTCTAGGAAAAGGCTACCAGCCTAACTCCTGGAATTCTACACTGGGGCTTGGGGTCCTTTGTCCAATGATGAAGAACTCACCTAGTGAGTGAGTGAAGACTGGCTAGCTAGTAAAGAACACTAGTACCACTAGGTCAGGGGTTTCCAACTTTTTTCCTAGGCCATAAACCCCTCTGGTGGTCTGGTGAAACCTAGGCACCCCTTTTCAGATTTCTCCCAACATTGTATTATGAAAAGTTGAATTCTGCGGTTGCGAACAGCTGTCTTCCCACCATCTAGTTTCTTCCATTAACATTTTATACTATGCTTGCTTTATCACATATTTTCCCATCTGTCCATCCATCAGCTGTTTTCAAGTACATAAAAATAAAAGTTTACAGGGGCACCTGGGTGGCTCAGTCGGTTAAGAGTCCGTCCGACTTAGCCTATAGGGTCATGATCTTGTACTTCATGGTTTGAGTCCCGTGTTGGGCTCTGTGCTGACAGCTCAGAGCCTGGAAACTGCTTCCGATTCTGTGTCTCCCTCTTTCTTTGCCCCTCACCGGCGCATGCTCTGTCTGTCTCTCTTTTTTAAAAAAATTAAAAAAAAAGTTTACAAAGAACCAATTATATTGAAATACAATAATCAGAATATTGAAAAGTTCTTATAGAGACTCATGGGCTTCTTTTTTAAAGCAACATGTCTAATAACTACCCTTCTTTTATTTATTTTTTAATGTTTATTTTCGAGAGAGAGAAAGAGACAGAGTGCAAGCAGGGGAGGAGCAGAGAGAGAGAGGGACACACAGAATCCGAAGCAGGATCTAGGCTCTGAGCTGTCAGCACAGAGTGCGACACGGGGCTCAAACTCCCAAACTGTGAGATCATGACCTGAGCTGATGTCAGACATTTAACTGACTGGGCCACCCAGGCACCCGTTAACTACCCATCTTTTAAAGTAGTGGTGAGCTTAAAATGTATTTTGAGATATCTGCAATAACTGTAATGTGGGAAAATATCTGTAATTTCTATTGGTGTGAAGATACAGATACTGCTAACATGGCCATGTTTTGTTGCCTACATTCATAATTAAAGGAAATGTTACATTTCAGTTAAAGAGTGGTAAAAAAAAAAATGTAACATATAGAGACCTCCTACTTCATATGTTCTGGTGCATTTAATAAACGCAGTGTCCTAGGGGCACCCAGGTGGCTCAGTTAGTAAGTGTCTGACTCTTGATTTTGGCTCAGGTCATGATCTTACAGGTTGTAAGTTCAAGCCCTGCATCAGGTTTTGTGCTGACAGCATGAAGCCTGCTTGGGATTCTCTCTCTCCCCGCCTCTCTCTCTCTCTCTGTCTCTCTCTCTCTCCCCCTCTCTCTCTCCCTCCCCCTCCCCTGCTTGGGTCTTTTGTCTCTCCAAATAAATAAATAAACTTAAAGAAAAAAAAAAAAAAAAAAGCAGTGTCCTACCCTGGGCTTTGTACTTTTGCAGCTAATCTTAATGATCATTCCAGAGAGTTTTAGCTCTGTTTTCTGAAGGAAGAAACAACCCCACAGGTCTAGTTATAGCAGAGCTGTTGGAACAACAGCAGATTTTTGGATCTCCAAATCGAATGGTTTTTTTCCCACAAAAGCTTCCTGTCAGCTTGGCAAGACGGAGCTGACAGCCCGGGGCGGAGCGGCGGTTTTCAGACTTTGCTGGCACAACAGTTGCAGGTGGCTCAGCTCTTCAGGTTCCTTGGCCTTGCCCACTAAGGGCTGTGATGCTCTGGCCCAGCTCGGGCCTGAAAAAATCTGCTTTTTTGGCAAGCCCTCCAGATGATTTTCATGCAAGGGTCGCCCCCTGGGAGATGCTAATTATGAGATCAAATGTGTTCATCTGATTACACTTCTGTCAACGGATAGGCCTTAGCACAGACTTGGAGCCTTGGTGACCTAGAAGTTGCTTCAGGAGACAAATTTAACTTAATGCTCTGGCAGAATTATCTCTGAAATCTTCTATGAATATGCACAGGCTTAGTCACTCTGTCCTCAGGCGCTTCAAATATGCCGGCTAATGGCCAGAGGCATGGTGATCAGGAATCAGTCCATCCTCCCTCCCTCCGTTTCTTCCTTCCTTCCTTTCTGTCCCCCTCCCCCATCTCTTATTCTGCAAGCCTCCGTGACCACCTACTCGATGAAGGCCCCGTGGTACAAAGTAAGGTAAATCCCTTTCCTGCACTCATAGTCCTATATGACAGATACGTATCCAATGGTAACCGCCTGAATCGTACAGATCTTGTCCTTTGGGTATTTAGGGAAGGAGAGGGGGTCCTGGAAGCCTTCATGAAGGAGACAGACCCCTGTAAGGTGAGCCTTGAAGCCATGGAGGACTGAGGGGAGACCAGCCGTGGCAAAGGCACAGAGCTTGGAAAATGACAGATGTGGTAAAGCATGTGAGCCAATTCGGCTGAAGCTGAGTGTGCATGATGCGGCGTGTGAGCTGGAAAGGCAGGCGGGGACAGTAAGTATGATCAAGAATCACCTAAGGACGAATTGTGTACAGGAACTACGTGAAGCACAACTACTCACGGTGTATTTTTCACACGAGGATTTCCTGCACGTTCTCATTTCATTACTCCCTCAGTTATGTGAACTGGAGAGTGGAGGGGAGTGGAAGGGATGGCTGTGAGGAATTTGCGAAGGTTATGGGAGAAAGCAGTGCAGGGAGCAGGAGGAAGGAAAAGATGAGATTGCCCTAAGGCACACCTTGTGAGAGATGTCGCTACTCTGAGGGTTTGGTTGACTTGAGTGAATCTTTAGCCTTTTTAGTGCTCGGCAGACCATCACTTGACTCTGCCCTTTTTAAGTACTTGATATCTCCGTAGAGTTTTTCCCCAGGTTGCATTTTGAGAACTAAGTAATGAATAACAACCCATCAATTAAGATGGGTCACACAAGCCACTGATGGACTCAGAAATGCTTCCCACAGAGAGGAGCCACCTTTTCCTGTTGACTGTACTGAAATGGCATTAATAATGCATCTGCTATTTCTTAAATGGACCAGTAATGTCTATTAATGGAATGTGTTTATCATAGAAGGACTATCGGAGGAAAAGAAAAGCTAAAGGACAAATTACTTTGCAAGGTCTTTTATTGTGAAACCCTTCCCACACCCACTCTTATTGTGAAACCTTTCCCACTCTTGTCCCTTCTGGGCCATCCAGGATACTCAGGACTCAGAAGGAAACCCAGGTCTGCCCATGGCCCTCTAAGGCCTTATGTTGTGGTGACCTCCTCTTGTGCCCCAGCACAGACTCAAATCTACCTCTAGGCCTTGCATGAACCCTCCTCTCTTAGGGGTGGGAAATAGAAACACATTCGCTGTGTGTAAGTAATATCTGAACCTCTGCTGCAAGAACCATATTATTATATGGAATTTGTGGTTTTTAAATTTCTTTTTGTCAGCCTCCTTGGGCTAAAGGGAAAGCTTTAGTACCTAGGGGAATTTCCACCCTTGCTAGGGCTATAGGGAAAAGTATGTCTTCTGAGGCCACAGGGTGACCAAGTGCTACCTCCAAGCCTCTGATGGAAACGCAGTGATGCTACTGGCTACTCCTGTGGAGCCACCCACCTGCAGGCAGAGTGGTTTCCCTCTTGGAAGCTCCTCATCTCCTAGAAATTGGGAGTTTTTCTTGATTAAAGGGGTGATTTCTGGGGCACCTGGATTGGCTCAATCGGCTAAGCGTTTGACTTCGGCTCAGGTCATGCTCTCACAGTTCGTGAGTTCGATCCTCACGTCAGGCTCTGCACTGTGAGTTTGAGCCCTATGTTGGGCTCTGTGCTGACAGCATGGAGCCTGCTTCAGATTCTGTGGCCCCTTCTCTCCTTGCCCCTCCCCTGCTCATGCTCTGTCTCATTCTCTCTCTCTCAAAGATACTAAACATTTGAAAAAAAGATTATAAAGGGGTGATGGATGTCCTTATAATTCTCCTGCCTCCAGGGCCCACTCTATTGCACCATACCCCCTCCCTTATGATCTACAAAATTCGTGGGAGAAAGAAGAGAGAATGGTATAGAGAAAAGGTTGGAGTCAGAATCATGAGGGTCTGTTTCCCCTTAAATAAAGAGTCCAGCACATTTCTTGGGGGAGACATGTGAGGGCTCTGTCTGTGTCAACTTCAACATTTGAGGATCCGTCATGTTTTTAACTAGAAATTATCCCAGGACCCGGAGGAGACCAAGATGGCCACAGCAGGGGGTCCAAACCACATAGAACAATAAGCTTAAAATGTTGGCAAGTCTTAGGAGCAAGTGAGATGATATAAAAAGGAAAAAAAAAAAAAAGCCCTTTAGAAATTCATTTTCCAAAAAAAAAAAAGAAAGAAATTCATCTTATAATTCCCTATCACTTTACTGCTGGTGCCTTAACTCTTTCAGCTGGACAAAGTCTTGTGAACCAGATGAGAATGGTTCACTCACTGCCAACACTCATTATAATGAAGCATCATGTAGACGTCTTTGGGAGAGGGGAGGGAAGGGATGTGGTGGTGAGCCAGGGAGGGGTTTTCACTACTTTGAAGACAGGCCATTCACCCCTGACCCCTGACCCAGGAAGTGAAGTTTCAAGGCACGTGGTCAGTTCTTGGCATGCCAGAATGCGCTCCACCCCCTGCAGCAGTGGGAGCTCCTGCAGAAGGTGCCCATTCTCTTGACGGACCCCTCACTCCAATATGGCATCATGAGAGAATCCATTGCCCTCTGCGGAGCTCTATACTTCTGGGCCTTGGCAGTGGCTTCCCTCCACAGCAGCAGGGCAAACGTGTGAGCTACACATTAAAGGTCATTCAGAGGAAGCCACAGTTCCAGAGGGCTGAGCCCTGAGTGGATGGCTGGGAGACCTAGGACTAATTTTAGCTTTTTAGGTGACCTGGGACCTTGTTCCATCAAATGTGTAATGGGATTGACAGCTACCTCTCTGGCTGGGTTCACAGAATGAGTCAAGTGAATTGATGTGGAAACTGTAAAGCACTGTGCTCATGGTGACAAATGGAGATGACCGCTGGGGTTGGAGAGCCAGATCACCTGGATTCAAATTCTGGCTCAGATGCTTACTCGTAGACTCATCTAGCCTCTTAGGGAAAAATAAAGATAATGATTGTACCAACCACATAGGTGGTTAGGGTGGTGATGATTAAGTGAGCCCACACACATAGTGCATTTAGAAGAGTGCTCGGCAAGTAGTGAGTGCTAAGACATCTGGTAATGGTGACGATAAGCAGGGTGCCTTGGGGCTTGTAAGACGAGATAGGGTTAGGTAGAAGCTGGAAAAACTATCAATCAAAAGCAGTAGGCAATTTTCTTTCAAGTGGAGAATTCATCTTGGATCTGGAAACATCCCTGACTCAGAATTTGAATGACGGAGATGTAAAGTGCATAGGCCCCTTCTCCCGCCTTGGGTATATTGGGTGTTTGGCTGAACCGGTGGGAATGGTGAGCTGGCCTCCCCCATATGGAGGTAGATGGCAGATACTTGGGTTTGCAGCTTTCTAGAAGCATTTTTCACAGTGTTGTGACCCTGAGCCCCAGGAAGAAATACATTCCACATCACATGGACACACTCATACTAAAAACAAAAGTTTCATGAAAACTATACCTACCCTACACTGGTATTTTCGCTCTTATTTCTGCTTTTGCTCTTGAACTCTTCAACTCTTGAAATGTCTCTCTCTCTCTCTTTTTGAATGTGCTTGGTTGTAACCCTGTAAGTTGATACCATGACCCACTGATGGGTCTGGATCTAGCAGTCTTAAGGAGCTGCGCCATAAGGGAATCTACAGGAAGGGTCTGGCCCAGCCCCGAGAGTGGCCCTTTCCCCTTCAGTCTTCCCTCATGTGGTCCCTAAAGCTTTAGGATAGTTGTATCAGAAACTGCAGCCTGGTCTTGGCTGAGTCATGGGGTGGTTCGAGAGGGGCTGCCCACACTGGTGGGCAAATAAGTGCAGAGACCCTTTTCTACAAGGGTCTAGAGTGGCAGTTATATGAGCCACAGAGGGCAGGGAGCCTTGCATTTCAGCCTCTGCCGCAGCACACAGTAGGTACTCGGTAAAGCGAGAACAGGGGAGAGTGCACTGGACTGGAGCTAGTGCTCGGCTGTGCCCTATGACCTGGGGCCTCAGTGACCCAACCTGCAAAATGAAGGCTGTGGCCTCTAGGATCTCTCAGGAGAACATGCAGGCCATGCCACAAAGCCTGGAACTCCCTTTGTTGGGGGGAGAGACCCAGTGGGGCACATCCTATATGCGGCTTATGCAAGGGTGAGGGGGCTCTGTGGGGGTGATGCTTCCAGCCTCGAACTCTTCAGGCCAGATCTTGAGGTCTTGAAAGGCCTCCTCGTGGGCTCAGGTTAATGGGAATCTTCACAGATGTGGTGTCACTCCATTGAGGCTGCCTCTCCCCTGAGTACTGGAGATCCATGTGAGAGGAGGGCTGAGGAAGAGGCCTGTAGGAGAGTGGAAGGGAGGTCTGGTGACAATTCCCAAGCCTCCCCCCCAGGATGACATCAGCTTCTAAAATCCTTAGTCATGACTGGGACAGGGTGGCAGCTCCAAATTTCCTCCCTATTTAAAAAAACCAGGCCTGATTTTGTTCACTCACTCAACATATATATATATATTGAACTAATATATGGCAGATACAGCAGTAGGCATACGATACAAAGATGTCAAAGGCAAGGTCCCCATCCTCCAAGAGCTTTCTGGTCTTAGTGGGGGACACAGTCAATAAGTAAGCAAGGTCCTATCCAAGAATGACAAGTGCTTTCAGGGTAAATAAGAAGGGGTAATAATGGAACAGAAAGTGACTGGGGTGGGGAACCTAGGAAGGAGGGGCAGAGAGAGAGAGGGAAACATAGAATCCCAAGCAGGTCTCGTGCTTGGGTCAACACAGAGCCCTACGTGGGGCTCCATCTCACGAACGTCAAGATCATGACCTGAGCCCAAATCAAGAGTCAGATGCTTAGCCCACTGAGTCACCAGGTGCCCCTGTAGTTTTTACTTTTAGAGGCACATTTGGTGAGCTTTCGGGATCCTTCCAACTCCTACAGCCTGTGGTTCAGGGAAGGGAACTTCTCACAGGTATATGAAAGGCCAGGGTAGATAGAGGAGCCAAACTGTTTCTGGTCAGGTGGCAGGATGTAGAAAGTGAGTGGGCGTACTGTGTTAGCTCAAGGGAGGGGGTGGGGGGGGGCACACATAGCTCGCCCAGGGACCTGCCTCTCCGTGGCTGTCGTAACTTCTAAAACTGATCTCGGACATGCCCTCCTTCATCCCAGCACTCACACCCTCTCATTTCATTTCACCTGTTGTGAAGAGGGGTGCAGGGTTAGTACCCTAGACTAGGCCCATCTCTTGTTTTGGGGACCTTTCAAACAGTTGGTCTGAACACCCCCCTGGCATATTTTATGATCCTAGGTCCTGGTTGCCTGCATCTCCACACCCCCACCCCATCCGTCTGTCCTAGGTGTGGTGGGGAGTTCATGCTGTGGGCGCTGGCTGGGGCCTGCTTGCCAACTGACCCCCTGGGAACTGGGGTTTTAAAAGAGAGGCAGCTGCTGCAGTAGGAACACCCACTTAAACACAGAGGACACAGGAGCCGTGGGTCGGGCCTGTCTTCAGTGTTTTCAGCCTGAGTGGTGAGAATCAAGGTTCCCCAGAGAGCAGGAAAAATCAAGAAACCTGGTGTGTTTGCCTCCAACTTTTTTTCAACCCCTCCTCACTTCCTGCGCTGTAGGTCCCTCCTCCCCTGGCCTCAGTTTCCCTATCTATTCCATCTATTCAACGCCCCCTGGGATTTCTTTGGGAGTAAAGAAAGGTGGGTTTGAAAAGCAGCCCTGCCTACTCTCCTCTCCTCGCCCCTGCAGCGCCGGATTTCCGATTTCCTGCGCCGCACGTGCGGTCCTGCGCCTCAGGAGTGCCCTCGCCGGCCGGTGACCCGGCAGATGGTCGGGGTGTCGCCGTCAGCAGAGGAGGAAGAGGGAGAGGTGGCAGCAAGGTGGCGGCCCGGCGCCGCCCCCGTCCCCATTCCCACCCCTACCCCACCCCCACCCCCCGGGCCCCGGCCGCGGCTTCCGCAGCCTCGCCCGCAGCGGCCCGTGCCCCCGCGCGCTCCTCGCCCTGCACGCCCGCCCGGCGACCCCGCTGCTTGGAGTCGCGCCCTCGAGAACCGCAGTGCCGAGCCTCCTAGGACCCGCGGGGAGCAGCGGCGAGAGGCGACTCCCATGCGGCACCCGAGCGGAGGCCCCGGCCGCAGGAGCAGGTGAGGCAGCGCCATGGGGCAGGCGGGCTGCAAGGGGCTCTCCCAGTCGCTGTTGGACTACAAGACCGAGAAATATGTCATCGCCAAGAACAAGAAGGTGGGCCTGCTCTACCGGCTGCTGCAGGTCTCCATCCTGACCTACCTGGTGGTGTGAGTTCTCCGGGGGCTGTCGGGGGGTGGGGGAGGCGAGGGGCCGCGGCTGCCCCCTCCAGGGACCTGGGACCTGGACCAGCGTTCCTCGGGCTCAGCCAGGGGCTCTTAGGTCTAAGGGTGGCAGGTAAGGAGAGAGCCCTCTTTCCCCACCGGCTCTGGAGGTGATGAGATGCGGGCAGGGAAATCTGTGTTCCTTCATTTACCAGCCTCTCCGTGGGCAGCTCCTTCCTCTGGGCCGGGGCCCTGGGGTCGGGGCCACTCGAAAGGGGCAAAGACGCAGGGGCCTGGCTCCAGCTGTCTCTCTGGGAGCCTCCCTGGTCTCTTTGGTGCAGGCCCAGGCACGGGGTGGGTTATGTATAATCACTGAGCTCAGTGGCAAGCTCCTGGCCGGGACAACTCAGCAGCCTGGTATGTCCCAGCACTCCCTTCTGGTCAACTCAGCACACCCCGGTCTGGCGGCCTCTCTGGTATCCCGCTGGGGGTCCTGCCCTGAGGCTCTCTACCGGGCACCCAGCCGGACCTTCTGCCTCTACCTTTCCCCCCTCCCACCTGGCGGGAGCTGGCACCATGGGCAGAGGGGGCAGCTCCTTGGAGTTGCTCGGCCAGGCACTGTTCAGTACCCTCGCCCCCAAGGAGGGAGGGAACAGGTGGAGGGAGGAAATGACACCAGATGTCTGGGAGGCTGGTGTGCCTCTTTTGCTGCTTCAGTAAATGCTGTTGAGTCCCTACTATTTCCTGACTGGGGGAGGAACAGATGCTCCTCCTGGGAGCGCCACCCTGACCTCACTAGGAGGCCAAGTGCCCCCACTGCCCCAACTGCCCGTGGAGCTTCATCCCTAAGGCACCCGCATGCCTCTCACCTGAGGGCCTCTGGACATGCTGTTCCTCAGCCACATGCGCCTTTACGCCTCTTCTTGGTTAGCGCCCGCTCATGCTTCAGACCCACGTTCTCAAATAACTCTGATGCATTCCACAGGGATCGTTTGCTTAATGCCTGACTCCCGTCCATTCTGGAGACACTATGAAGGCAGGCAGGGCCTGGCATCACCTAACTGCTAGGAAGTAGGTGTGAAACGAATGAATGAATGAGTGAATGAGCGTTGTTCCCTGAGAATTTGCTCAATGTTTCTGTCCAGGCTGGGCCCAGTTTGTGCCTACTAATGTTGGCTCACTGTCCCAGCCCTCTCAGGGTTCCTTGGAGACAAGGAGAATCTAGGACTTAGGACATAGCAGGTCTGCCTCCAGAGATGAAGAGGGTGGGCACATTTTGGTTGGCACCTGCTATGCAAAGAACCCTTACTGGCATCATGGGAGGTGAAGGCCATCCCCCATCACTCCTGCATGACCTCAGGCAGGGAGCTTCCTGCCCTCTCCTGGCCTCCCAACTTTCCCAAGCGGTCAAGCTGTATAGTCTCTAACCTTAACTGTCACGTCACCAGTAAGTTGATGAGTTGTATTTATTGAGCTCTTCCCTGGCCTGGCACTCACTGTGCTAAGCAATTTACATGTGCCATCTCATTGAAAAAACAAATTTTTTTTTGATATTTTGAAATAATTTTAGATTTACAGAAAGGTTACAAGAGTAGCATAAACTTTTTGAAACGTCCTTCACCTAGATTGCTCAGATGTTAACATTTTACTACGTTTGTGTTGTCCATTTCCCTTTTTCTCTCCACACACGTGATGTGTGTGTATATATGCAATTTTTTCTGTTTAAGAGTAAGTTGCAGACTTATGCCCCTTTACCACTAAATACTTTGGTGTGTATTTCATTTTTTTTTTTATTTTTTATTTTTTAATTTTTAAAAAAAAAATTTTTTTTTTCAACGTTTATTTATTTTTGGGACAGAGAGAGACAGAGCATGAACGGGGGAGGGGCAGAGAGAGAGGGAGACACAGAATCGGAAACAGCCTCCAGGCTCTGAGCCATCAGCCCAGAGCCTGACGCGGGGCTCGAACTCACGTACCGCGAGATCGTGACCTGGCTGAAGTTGGACGCTTAACCGACTGCGCCACCCAGGCGCCCCTGGTGTGTATTTCTTAAAACCAAGGAATTCTCTTATTTAATTAACCAAGTACAGCTATGGAAATTAGATAATAACATTGAATCAATATTATTTTCTAACCTACAGACCTTTTGTAAATGGTTCCAATAATTACCTTTATTTATTTTTTATTAAAAAATTGTTTTTATTAAGTTTACTTTTGAGAGAGAGAGAGAGAGAGAGAGAGAGAGAGAGAGAGAGCATGAATGGGGGAGGGGCAGAGAGAGAGGGAGACACAGAATCCCAAGCAGGCTCCAGGCTCCGAGCTGTCAGCACAGACCTGACACAGGGCTTGAACTCACAGACCGCGAGATCATGACCTGAGCTGAAGTTGGATGCTCAACCGACTGAGCCACCCAGGCACCCCTAATAATTACCTTTAATAGCAAAAAAAAAAAAAAACAAAAAAAAACAAAACAAAACTGAAATCCTGCCTTGCATTCATTTGTCTTATCTCCTTAGTCTCCTTTAATCTGTAATTGTACCTGAGACTGTCTTTGTATTTCATGACACTGATGTTTTTTGAAGAGTGCAGGATTTTTATTTTATTACAGTTTTTAAATTGAAGTAAAATTCACATAGTATGTAACGCACAGTTTCAAGCATTTAAAATTATCCGATTCAGTGGCTTTTAGAATACTCACCATGTTTACAACTGTCACCGCTATCTTATTTCAGAACCTGTCCATCACCCCAGGAGAAAACCCGTAACTAACTGCTAGCAGTGGGTTGGCGTTCTCCCTTACTTCACTTAACAGAATGTTTCCAAGGTTTACCTATGCTGTCGCGTATATCAGTCATTCATTCCTTTTATGGCTGAACACGATCCCACTGTATGGATAAACCGCATTTTGTTTGTCTGTTCTTCTGTGTGGACAGACATTTGGGTTGTTGCTCCCTTTTGGCCGTCACAGACAACATTGCCGAGACCATTCCTGTGCAAGTTTTTGTGTGCATGTGGGTTTCCAGTTCTCTGGGGTGTATATTTTGGAGTGAAGTTGCGAGGACAGATCATTACCTTTTGAGGAACGGTCAGACTTTGCCACAGCAGCTGTACCGTGGCAAGTACCCGTTTCTCTGCAGCCTCACCAACACTCGTTATTTTCCTTTTTTTTAACTGGGTTATTTGTGTTTTTTATTGCTGAGTTGTAAGAGTTCTTTATATGTTCTGGGTACCAGACCCTGACCAGCTATCTGATTCGCAAATATCTCCCCCCTTCTGTGGGTTATCTTTTCATTTGCTCGACAGTGTCCTTTGATGCACAAAAGTTTTTAATTCTGATGAAGTTCCACTCATCTATTTTTTCTTTCATTGCATGTGTTTTGGGTGTCAAAGAGTATAGGATTTTGTACTCTTGTTTTGTAGAATGCCCCAGGTTGGATTTGTCTGAGGTGTCCTCATGATTAGTTTCAGGTTGTGCCCCATTTCCTTTAACTGTCCTCACACCCCTGGAGGGAGGCACTGTTGTCCCTGTGCTGACCCCCGGAGTTCATCGGCCCTCCTGAGATCACATCACCAGCGTAGGGGTGAGCGGGCTGGCACAGCGTGGGCCAGCTTCAAGGGCCTTAGCCCCTGAGGGCAGCCATCTTCCTGCTCTCGGGGTTGCTTGTCGCCTCTGCTGCTTGCAGGACCGGGTCTCGGGCAGCAGTGCTGTCGTGGCCCCTGCCCAGGAGCTGGGGAAAGGTGAATACCCCGGGGAAAATTCCCAGAGGGCAGCAGTGACGCTGATGCCCACCTGCCGGGCCCTCTTCCCACAGGTGGGTGTTCCTGGTGAAGAAGGGTTACCAAGACACCGACACCTCCCTGCAGAGCAGTATCATCACGAAAGTCAAGGGCGTGACCTTCACCAACACCTCTGAGCTCGGAGAGCGACTTTGGGATGTTGCCGACTACGTCATCCCACCCCAGGTCTGAGCCCCACCCAGCACTGGGACCTCCGCTAGTAGGGCTTGGCTCGGGGTGGGTCACATAGGAAGCTGATGAGGTACCCAGGGACTTCATCGATTTTCTCCCTTGGCCCAGGACAGCTGCCAGGGTTTGCAGATGGAGACCCTGCTCAGATCCTTCCCCCAACACCAACCCCTTGTCCTCCTTGACTGCACCTATGGGACTGCTCCCTTCCCAACAAACCCTGAGCCTGTAGAGACCAAATGGGGCCCCAAGGAGTTCCAGATCAGTGTTGAGTCAGGTGGCCTGGCACAGAGAACTGCTCCCGTACATTAGCTGCTGCCCTTGGGAATGGCTCCCTGGCCTATTTACAACTGGCCCGGGGCCAGGGCCTTGGCCACCCTGTCAGTACCTCTTCTCCCAGATCTGGGCTTAGATCCCAGGGGCTGAGGTCAGAATAGGGATCCGTGGATGGGGCCAGTTTGGGGTTGTGGGCCTGAAAGGGACCTATCAAAGGACATCTACTCAAGGACTTCAGAGTCAGTGGGCAAATGGGTGGGATCCACTGATTTTGTGGCCCCGTTGTCCTCAACACCCCCTGCCAGGAATCCTGGGAAGGAGGGTTCCCGAGAGGGTAAGAGGATGTCCCTCAACCCCTCTCTGGCTTCTCAGGGAGAGAACGTCTTCTTTGTCGTCACCAACTTGATCGTGACCCCCAACCAGCAGCAGAAAACCTGTGCTGAGGTTTGATTTGGTGCAGAAAGCTGGGGGTGGGGGGGGGGGTGAGCCTCCATCAGTGGTTGGGGTCTACCCTTCTCCTGACGTAGGGGTTTCTGCCCCCTTCCAATGCCCGGAGGATATGTACACTGGAGCACAGACCTGCATCGCTTGGGGGGAGAGAAGCAGGTTTCCCAGGGTGTGTGTGGCCCCACTCAGGGGAGGAACCCCCGTCCCAGCTCCTGGGGTGGGACCTTGGTTCTGAACTGGAGCCCCTGCAGGGGAATGCCCAGCCAGGTGCCCCTTCTCTTCCGGCAGAGTGAAAGCATTCCGGATGCCTTGTGTTACAGAGACAGTGACTGCCCTCCTGGGGAGCCCGTTGTGGCTGGAAATGGTGAGGCCTGGAATGGCGGGGTTGGGAGCAAAGCAGGGGGATTGGAGCCAGGAGGCTTATAGCATTGTTCCCGTCCCAATCTTGCAGGAGTGCGGACTGGCCGCTGCCTTCGGGTGGGGAACATGCAAAGGGGCACCTGCGAGATCTTCGCCTGGTGCCCAGTGGAGACAAAGTCCAGGCCAGCGTGAGTGGCTATGGCCTCGGGACCCTGAAGAGCTACCTGGGCAGTGAGCGGGTCTCAGCCTGATGGTGGAGACATGTGTACTCTGAGATCCTCTTTCTGAGGACGCCCCACAAAGGCCTGAGGATCACCCCTACATGAACAAATTGGTGGTCCTCGGCAAAGGCTCCAGGGAACCCAGGGAGCAGGCAGGCTTCAGTCGTGCCACAGGCCTGGGGGGATGTACAGAGGAAGCAGGGCCAGGGCCTCCTGGACAGACTGTCCTGGCTTGATTTGCAGGAAGCCACTCCTGGGCAAGGCTGAAGACTTCACCATTTACATAAAGAACTTCATCCGTTTCCCCAAATTCAACTTCTCCAAGTATGTGGGACTTGGTTCCCGGGGATCTAGGGCCTGCCTCCTTGTTCACTGTGCGCGGCCCCGTGTGCATGGGCGTGTGCGACATCTGCATGTGAACGAACCACTGGGTGATGCTGGGGCACGCCCAGCATCTGTCCTTGAATGGAGGAGGGTGCTGAGGAGGAGTAGTCAGGACTTGAGTAGGGGCTGAAGTCGGGGACTCAGCCTGGGCCAGGTAAAGGCCCTGGGACTCCTGCGTCAGTCAGGCTGTGTCTGGCCCGGGAACAGCCAGTCTTGGCTTCATTTCACTGTCTGTTCGTGGCCTCCATCCAGGACCAATGTGCTGGACACCAAAGACAAGGCTTTCCTGAAGTCCTGTCACTTTGGCCCCGAGAACCCCTACTGCCCCATCTTCCGACTGGGGTCTGTGGTCAGCTGGACGGGGAGCAACTTCCAGGAGATAGCCCTGCAGGTGGGTAGCATGCACTCAGGGAGCCCTGCCTGGGGGCTCGCGGGCCCAAGAGCTCTGGGCCTGGGCCCAGGAAGAGGGTGGTGAGGAGGGGGACGCCTGGGGTCGAGTGGTAGTGCAGAGTCCCCTGCCACAGGGACTCACTGTCTTCAGGATTAGCTCTGACGCACAGCCTGTCAGAACCCAGGCACTCAGTGAAACGCACAGCGAGCACCTGCTGTTTGGTTCGCAGTCCTTGGGGGCATCAGTTGAAACTGAGCCCGAAGGAGCCCCACTGGTGCGTCCGGCTGTCATGTAAGGTGCTGGCTCCAGTAGTTCCCTTCTCCTTGGAAGCATGAAACAGGGGACTTGGGGGGTGGGGGCTGTCAGCAAAGTGCTTTTCTCAGCCTCTCCAAAGGGACCTGGAGCTTCTGCCTTCCTCCTGGGAGGATGCTCCGGCGGGGCTGACCCGTGGCCTGAGCACTTTCCCCATCTTGTCCAGCTCTCGGTGAAGAGCCAGTCTGTGACTTCTGCCCATCTCCACAAAGTTCTGTGCACTAATTCTGGTCTCTTCTTCATCAAGGGTGGTGTGATAGGAATTCAGATTGAATGGGATTGTGATCTTGATAAAGCTCCTTCTGAATGCAACCCTGGCTATTCTTTTAGCCGTCTGGACAACAAATTTTCAGAAAACTCAATCTCCTCTGGGTACAACTTCAGGTAACTGGGGCTAGACTTGCTGTCTTGTGACCCTGGCCACATTTTGTCCTTTTCTGGGTGCCAGCACTATGACACCCCTTACTGGGGGGAGGTTGTCAGAGTGGGAGGTGTAGGGAGAAGGAGCTGAGGAGAGGTGAGGGGTGCCAGCTGGGAGCATCACTGGGAGAGGAGAGAAGTTCCTGTCACCCTGTGGGTTCGCCAGGAAGCCGAGGCTTAGCTTCTTAGCTCAGTCACTTCCATCAGTGCTGTAGTGGCCCTGGGTTGGCCCAGTGTGTTGTGGGAAAGCCCTTGCCTCTTGGGGGATGTCTGTAAGGATTTCAAAGATCTGGAGGAGTCTTTACCATAACGTTAGCAAGAGGGTCTCCAACCTCCCCGGGGGTGCTCATAAATCTCCAAAGCGGCCTGGTATGTGTTGCCAAGCACAGAAGGTCTCCCCTGGGCCATGTCTCCCCTAGGTTTGCCAAATATTACCGAGATGGAGCTGGAGTGGAGTTCCGCACCCTCATGAAGGCCTATGGGATCCGCTTTGATGTGATGGTGAATGGCAAGGTGTGTGGGTGTATCTCCCATCCTGAGGCCGGGCAGGTCTGGAGTGGGGCATGTTGGGAGTACCTAGGAATCTTGCTGTCCGCCCTTCCTTGTTCACCCTGCTGTGTTTCTCTGTGCTACAGGCAGGGAAGTTCAACATCATCCCCACAATCATCAACATTGGCTCTGGGGTGGCGCTCATGGGTGCTGTGAGTACCTCCTTCCCCTCACCTTCACCCTCTGAGCACTGGCCGGGGAGGGGGACACTGCTCCAGAGGTGCTGTCCTTATGCCTCAGAAAGAATAAGAACGGGCGAGGTCAGTGGGATGCGGGTAAAGAGGGCTTTCTGGGACTTGAAACCTGCCAACAGCCCCAGGTGGCAGTGACTGACTGACTTTCTCTTTCCAGAGCCAGAGAGGTATCTGCCTGGAGCTCTGGAGCTGGGGGCGGGGCTGGGGTTCTCTGGGATCCTGGGTCAACCCTGAACTTCTAAGCTTCATCTCCACTGCTGCTAAAAAGAAGCAGGATCCAGCTATATGCAGGGCTGCTCAGCTGTGGCCCTACTGCTAATGCTCTTCTGTGTGGGGCCACCCTGTGTGCTGTGAGATGACGAACAGCATCGCACTACCTCCCCGCTAGATGCCCACAGTGCTTTCTCTCCCCCTTGTGAAAGCCAGAAATGTCTCCAGAAATTGCCACATGTCCCCCGGGGATCAAAATCACCCCCGGTTGGAAATCCGGGGGCTAAAAAGATGAGCATCGAGGGAGTCAGGCTGTGGTCCTTCCTCAGATCTGTCCAGCTGGGCCCAGAGGGACGCACAGGAGAGGAAATAGTTGCTGGAGGGTGGGCAACGCTTTCCCCCGAATCTCTTGTCATGCCCCTTTTTTCTTCTGGAAATTTTTTTTAAAGACATGGGAGCTGTCCGTGGGTGGCCCCTGCCCATCCTGGCAAGCTCCTTGCCAGGGTTTCCGGCAGCCTTGTCCTCTTGGCCCCACTGGAGGCCTCTGGCAGGACCTAGGGTGGACTTTTTATTGAGGCCAGGAAAACCGTGTAACAGTATCAACAAGTCAGAGGATTCAGCAAGGCTGTTCTCCTGAGAGGTGGTGGGTGACAGTGAGCCCCAAAGGATTCCTCTTCACTGCAAACAACCATTGTCAGGGAATCCTGTGTTTGCTCATATAACTTTCTTAGAGAGGGGCCACTGTCAGTCATTACTTTCTTATGATGTGGGTAAATCGGAACACGAGCGCATGGGGTACATACCTGTGAAATCAAGGTGATGGGAAAGGTGGTGGCGGAGGCTGGGTTGGGTGGAGTGTTCTCTGTGGAAAGAGGAGTTGATAAATAACATTTGGGGCATCTGGGCAGGGGCAGGGGAAGAGTTGTGCAGTGCCCTGAGTCAGAGGCCCAGGTCTCCCTTGGCCCACCCCCCCTGCTTCATTCCCTCCTCTTTCTGGTAGGAAACACCCCCACCCCTCCGTGCTGCGGCTGGAGTGGCCCTCTGATGGACGAGATGGGCGTGTGCACCATGCGCTCTGGTCCGAAGCCCCTGTGAACAGGTGTGGGTGGGTTCCCCTGGGTTAGCTCCATCCTCAACCTCATCCTGTTGTTCCCCCATCCCTGACCACCCCTGTCATTCTTGTTCTTCAGATCCTCTCCAACCCGTCTCTCACACTGACTACCAGAAAGAACGTTAGAAATTTCTAGAATGCCAAAGTTCTGTGCCCCTATTCAAGGCCTCCCCCTGAGGGATTAAGACCAAGGCCTCAAAGGCATTATAAGAAAATTTTCAGGCTGGTCCCCATGTCCCCATCCCCATCTCCAGAAGTGTCTCTTGCTTTTGCAACACGGGCCCTCTGGAATTTCCTTTGCTCCCTCTGCAATGCCTGTGCTCAGTAGACATTTGTTGAAGACATGATTGGATGGGGTCAGGGCAACGCGGGGGTGCCTGGCCTGATAGAGCAGATGGAGTCCATCTGCTAACTCCGGGCTAACTTTGGCTGTACCACGGACAAACTTTGTGGCCTTGGACAAAGGTGCCTCTTTCTGAGCCCAGTTTCCTATCTATTGATTGGAGATAATGGTGCTCTTTAGGGGTTGTTGTAGGGTCCGACAGAAGGTACTGTGTGTCAAATGGCAGGGTGCTTTCTGGAAACCTAGGATTCTGAGTCAGGAACCCTAACTCTTTTGCTGCAGGGGGCTTTCTTCTGTGACTTGGTACTTATCTACTTAATCAAGAAGAGCCACTTTTACCGAGACAAGAAGTACGAGGAAGTGAGGTCAGTTATGCTTCCTCCCCTGCAGCCTGGGGGGACCTTTGTGGGGGCCCCCTTGATCAGAGCTCCCCTCCCTGGCCTAGAAACTTTACTCTGGTTGGATGGTAATGCTTGGTGTGTGGCGGCAGGGCCATTGGGAGCTCCCCTGGAAGGGCCGCGGAAGGTGGAATGTTCTGAGAACATGCTTTACAGAGCTGGATTCTGCCTCAGAGCAGCTGGCAGAAGAAAAGGCCTCCAGAGGCCATGGGCAGGGGACCTGGTTTCCAGGCCTGACTCTGCCGCTATCTGCCATGTGACTTCAGACAAGTCCAAGGCCTCCTTGGGCCTCAGTTTCTCTCTCCGTGAGCATGCTAGCACTTATGTTTTAGGATTCTTGGACTTGGTAGTCCTGGTTGGCTGGGGTTGAGGGAAGCTGGAGTGGTAACGGAAGACAACGATAGATTTCTTGTTTTTTCCTGTGGGGGCCATTTCCAGGCTCTCTCGGGCCCTGAGCATGGTGGTGTGTATGCATGTATTCATAGCAGCAGAACATAGTATGAGTGGGAAACCCTGATGTCTGTGGGCAGACTGGAAGGGGAAAGGGGTTCTGACCCAGCCATTCTGGAGGAGCTGGGATCAGAATGGGCAGTTGCAGATGGTGGGCTCCAGATGGGCACCTGGGCACTCCCTCCACCCCACCGCAGCCTCGGACAGCAGGTGGAGGGTCAGCCCGCATCACTTGCCTGGACTGAACCCAGCCCTGATGCAGGCTGAGCCCTCAGCCCTGACCCTGGTCGCAGACGGAGCCCTCACTGCCCATGCCTCCTGGCTGAGCTGCTGGAGGAAGAGGGGTGCCCCCCACAGGGCGAGGGGCTCTACAGGGCCTGCCCCACGCCCCCACCCCGCCAGTCTGGGGAAGGTGGGCTGGGCTCTGCAGGCCAGGGTTAACTGGGTCCTGTCCTGCCCAGCGTCCTACGGGTCCTGGCTGAGTCCTCGCAACAGGACGGGACCCCAGAGGCAGAGGAGGCGGCGGCGGGGCCTGGGTTGGCCGAGCAGCCAGAGGCACAGCACGGAGGCGGCAGCCAGAAGGAGAATGGCTGCCCGCCAGGTGAGGGGCTGCTGGGCTGAGGACCCGAGAACGAGCCTTGCAGAGACGGCCTGGCCCTCTCCTCTCCTCCCTGCTCCAGGGTGACCTGGACACAAGGCAGGACATCCGGGACGCAGGAGCACCCACCCAAGCTGGACTTTGTGGGGGACAGGGGTGCTTTAGCTCCTTTGTGATCCCCATTATTTCCTCAACACCCCTAAGTTACCACAAAGCAGTCTGCTTGCCGTGCTATCCCAGAATTAAGACAAGAGTACGATGTCATTTCCTCAGGCTTCCTCTGCCTGGCACCTCTCTGAGCTCTTTGTATGAACCCATTTCAGCAACTTAATGAGGTGGACACTCACAGTCCCTGTTCTAATGAGGAAACCGAGGCAAGAAAGGTTGTGGCTTGCTCAAGTCACACAGCTAATAAATGACAGAGCTGGGATTTGAACCTAGTCAGTGTGTCTCTAGAATCCAGTTCTTCTCCATGATACTTTTCTGCCTTATCAAGCCCCCCATTCCCCTACTCCTCATCAGATGCCTTCCAGAAATTCTGGAGCTGCCCTCGCCTTAGGAGGGTGGTGGTATGTTGACATGTGGGCCTGCAGGCTGCCCTTCCCTGGGGAGCCTGGCCATATCTGCAGATGCGACCTCAGCCTGGTGCAGGAGGCAGCCCTGGGCTGGGTCAGGAGGCTGGCCTTAGGCCTCTCCTTCTGCCTGTGTGTCCTTGAGCAGGTACGTGGCCCGTTTGGGGCCTGTAAACGCCCTTTATTTCCCTGACTGGGGGCTGCACACAGGGGATTCTCTTGCTCAGTCAGGCGGGGCTGCTAACTCTCCTTTTGTAAACCATATCCATTTACTGGCCCGGACCGGGGGACTTTCCTCTGGTTCCCAGCTTTCATTCTTTGTTGACTCAGGGACTGGCAGCTTCCAGTGGGGAGCTGGGCCTGTGCAGGGCAGGAGTGAGAAATGGACTGGGAAGGAGAGGCAGGCAAAGGAGGGAGAGAAGTGAGGAAGACAGAGACGGGGCTGGGGCATGGAGGCAGGGAGGCTGGGGTCCCAGCAGCAGCTCCCAATGTGCTCCCTGAGCTCCTCAGCCTGTGAGAGGGAAGAATGACCACCCCGCTGGTGTTGGCTGTGGGACCAGCCTTGCCTGTTGCTGTGGGAGGCCCGGGTGCCCTCAGGGTGCCACCACAGGGCAGCTGCTCATTGCTGGTACAGCTCCGGAGGCCCCGGCCCGAGCACCTACATGGACCTGGGCTGTGGCCAGGGACTCCACCAGTCTGCCCGTCTCTGCGAACTCTCTGTCTGCAGTGCCACCAGCGAGAGGCTGCCGCGGGTGGAGTCTGCCCTTAGGGAGGCCTGCCCTCTTCACAGGGTCCCCAGTTGTCCTCTGTGTGCCCCCTACTCCCCCCACACAGGTCTGGCCACCCGGGGAATGGAAAGGTGAATGTGGAGCAGCTACAGAACCTGCAGACAGCGGAGGCATAGCCAGAGGTGTTCGCTGAGAGCAGATTTGGTGAAGATGTTGCGGCAGAACCGCCTGCAGCTCTGAACTGAAAACTCTTTGTGTTTGCGTGGGACAGGTGTTTCCGGTCACAGCCATCTCTTCTGCACCTTGGGATCTTACTACAAGCTTTTCGTTGTGTGTCAGGGGAGGGAAGCCTCCTAGTGGCCAGTGTGGCTCGGATCTAGAAGAGGAGGACTTGGAGAGGGAAGTGGGGAAGGCCAGGGGCCTGAGTGGTACTCGAGTGTTTTCATTTTTCCGAGAACTCAGTTCATTCATTCATTCACACAGTGAATGCTATGTGCTGTGGGCTGTGCCCTATCCAAGAGATCCTTAAATGAGATGCTGACCTGGCCCCTGGGTGCGGGGAGCACACGTGTAATTCCTTCCAGAGCCAACAGACGTCACAGCCCGGCTCAGCCACTCTGGCCTTCCCCCAGCCTCTAGCCGAGACTTTCACAAATCCCTGTTGAGAATGATGGCTCCTCAGAGAAAGACTTTGGCCGGCATCCAAGGGGACGTTTGGCCTTGCCCTCAGGGATAAAATAATAGGTGGCCAACGAAGCAACCAGGGAAGGCCTGGGCCTGGAAAGAGGCAGCTAGCCCTTGAGGGGAGAGGCAGCCTCTGAGGGTTTCCAGGTAAGGTGGGGAAGGGGAGGCAGGGAGGCTTCTGCTCCAGTCCTTCTGCCTAGCCTCAGGAAGCTCTGGGCATAGTGTCTCCCCCAAACGGGAGACCAGCCGCCTGGGTCGTTTCTCCCTTGCGGTTCTGTGGGGCTGAGTGTCCCTACCCGGCTTCCCTCGCTTTCTCCTCATAGGCGGGGTCTGAAGGGCTAAGGAGATAAGAATAGGTGGAGCTCACTTGGCAGGTGGAAGTAGTTGTTAACAGGGAGGCCCTCGCCCCTCACCCCAGCCTCTCTCCCTACCCTCCTCCTTCCCAGCCCCACACTGCTGAACTATGCTGCTTCCCCCATTTAGTGGCTGCAGAGCCTCGCTGCTCAGAGGTGTGGCCTGTGGACCAGCAGCATCAGCATCACCTGGGAGTTTGTTGGAACGGCAGTCTCTGCCCCCTCCGTCGTCCTCCGAAATCAGAACCTGTGTTTCAACAAGACTTCGGGTGATTTGTACGAACGTTCACGTGTGAGAGCACTGGTTAAGGAGATACGCAGCGCCTGGTTCTGAGGGAGGAGAAGGCCAGCTTTGGCAGCCGCTGCGGATTTCAGGTCAGACTTACACACATTCTACTTTGAGAGCAAGAGGATTCCACCCCACCCCCACCCCCGGGAAGGTGACATTATGCTCAATGCATTTAAAGTAAAATATTTTGACTAGATAATACTTATATGATTCAAAAACCAAACAAAAGGTACAAAAGAATAGACAGGGAAAAGCGTGCCTCCCACCCCTGTTCCCCAAGGCGACGTTACTGATGCCAAGAAGCTCTACTGTTTTGCTGAGAATCTGCTTGGTTGCTTGTGCCCTTGCTCAGGAAATGAACTTTTCCTGATGGCTGCAACGTCCCATCAAGTCTCCTCTGTCAGGAAGGGACACGATGGAATACAGTGAAGTACCGGGCTAGCTCCCTTCTCCCTCTCCCACTGTCTGAGGAGTCCTCGTGTAAACCCAAGGGGAGAGACCTATAGCTCATCACTAACTGTTGTCTGGTCTGCTCGGTAGCAAAGGCCTGTGGGGCTGCCTGTGGCTCAGCAAGCTCCATGGTTGGTTTGCACAGCTCCCCGGATGCTAAGGAGTGAAGGCTTTGGTTCTCCTCTGCACACAGAGGAGGCGGGAAGCATCCTTCCACCGACCAGGGCCTTTGGAGAGGGACAGAGGGGCTTGCAAAAGGCTTTGCCACTGGAGCAGGGCATGGTCCCCGAAACGGGAAGCTTGCTCCTTCTGGAGCAAGTGGCTCCTTCACTCTGGACTGGTAACCTGTCAACAACCCACCTGCTCTCTGAATAGAAAGTGAAAAATCTGGGTGATCTACTATGGTGTTTCACTTCCTCACTAAAGCAAACCCTAGGATTTGATATACTTTTACATTTGGGAGGAAGCAGAAAGGGCAGGGGTCATGACTGCTTAGGAGTTGGTCTGGTTTCTTTTAGCCTGTTTTTGGAATTGCTTTGCGGCAGCCATATAACCTGGGGGAAATTGTACTATTCGTTTTACACTGGAATGAAAATGTCTCCCTACAGTTTTCATTCAGTTGGTAAATATTTATTGAGTACCTGTTGTCAGGTGATGGACTAAATCTGGTAACAGTTGTGAGAAACACAGAAACTGTCCCTGCCCAAGTGCTTACAGTCTAGGAGGTGAGCCTTAATCAGTGGTCACACATAGAATCACAGACTGAATTTTCAGTGGAGTAGCCAGAGGTTTCCCCTAGGACGTGACATATAAGCCGAAATCTGAAAGCAGTCTAGTTGATGGGGGAAGCGTTCCAGGTAAGGGAACCACATGTGTAAAATAAATGCTTTGACATGAGGAGTAATTGAGGAGCTGGATGGAGATAGTGTGACTGAAGCTGGTTTTATGAGGCTTTCTTTCCATCAACTCTCTTTAATCTTAAGGGCTGCCCCATTAAACTTCACTGCCACAGAGGACCTAACCTAATGGTTTCAAGTCCAGCCAAGCTTTCCAGGTGGCCTCCCCTACATGTCATGGGTCTTGTGCTCAGAAAAGCCAGTGACCCCATTACAGCTTCTGGATAGTGTTGCACACTGCCAGTTTCCTTGCTTTTGCACAGCTCCCCGCTACCCCCTCTTTCTTTGCATAATCTTGGTGCATGAATGGGAGGTTCATAAATCTTACAGAAACTGGCTTTGAAATGGCAAGTGAAGTGGGAACTCGAGCTCCGTTTGGGAGAGTCCCTTTCTCTCAGGACACCAGTTGCCTCACCAGGTAGATGAGCACGCCAGCCTCTACAGAGCTCCTGTCCGTGCTGACATTACAGGATCACCTGAACCATCGCCTATGCTTACATTCAGGCCGTGGCCTAAAGCCATCTACCTAGTAGTTTCCTAATGATTAATTCCATGCCTTGGGAGTGCCATGATGCTGGCTAACGGGATTTGAAAACTGGGTGCTACCAACGTGCCATCAAGAGGTCGAGCCATGAAAGAGCTAAGCGCCCTCTACTCCTGATGCAGGGGTCACCAGGACTGACCAGTCATGGCTGCCTTTTTGCCACCATCCCATCAGCTCTTTCTCCGTGGCTTGCTGCCCTACTGGGGGACCAGTTGTAAAGGGGGAACAGGACTTCCTCCAGGTGTCTAAGCACCCCAGCTGTGGACGACAGTGCCCTGCAGAGTCCCTAAATCACCCCACTTGGAATGGCATCTTGCATGTCCGGAAAAGGGCTCCACCTGGTTGCTACCCACTCCCCTCCACCCAAATGACACAACTTTTCTCAGAGCATACTCTCCAGTGGACCCAAGAGCACCGTCTCCAAAAGGCACACCTTTCTCCCGGCTCTTTGTTTCCCCTTAGGCCAGTGCACAGAATTAAAGGAGGAAAGATGGCAGCCAATATCTGAGACCTGCCCCATAAATGTATTCTGATATTTTTATTTGGTTATAAAATAAAAAGTTTTAACTGTAAACATGTCTTGATTTTTTTTTCCCTTCAAGTCTTAGTCACCCCGTGTTTTAGAGGAAAATGTAAGGAGAAAGTGAGCCCTAAAGAGGCAGACACAAACAATTAGTAAGCAATATAAAAGCAATATATTATGTTCCTTATTCTCTTGCAAAGAAATTCAAATGGAAATAAGGAAACTCTTTAAATGAGCAAACATTAAAGGACTGGGAAGGCACTGATAAAACTGGTAATTTTCATTCAATGAGTGTAATTTGATAAAACTCTGGAAAGCATTTGGAATCAAGCTTTTATCGTGTTTTAGAAGCTTATTAAGTTCCCTGAAAACAATATAGACATGGATATTCTTTGCAGTATTTTTTTCTAACAGTTAACATTTCAAACAACCTTAACTGCCTAGAGATAGAGAAATAGTTAAGTGAATCAGTTCACTTATTCCACCCCCTCACCCGCCCCCATATCCAGTAGGACTCTCCCTTAACTCCACATCAGGAGTGAATCTTCCCTTATCCACTCAGAGAAGGCCTTGAGGGGACGGGGGAGTTTAAGAAGGGGGAGTATGCAAACCATGAATGTGAGCCTCTTCAGTCGGGGTCTGAGAAAGGGTTTAGAGGTCATTGGGAGGGGGAGGCAAAGCTGTGGCCTCAGCGGCTTCTTCCCTTCATGTGCAAGCATGTGGTCCAGAGCCCCAAATGGGATTCAGGAGGCCTGGGTCCCAGATCCATTTACGTTATTGGCCACAGACCATATACCATGTGTAAAAGGAGACTTGGACTCAAGCTCTCAGATCATCTTCTGATCTAAAGCTGATCTTTTTTGAAAATCCAAATGTCACATCACTCCTGGCTAAAACTTCCAAAGGCTCCCCCAAACTGCTCTTAGGACCAAGGCCAAAAAATCCCCACCGTAGCCTTCCAGGTCCCGGTCATGGCCTCTTCTCTAACTCTCCAGATACATGTCCAACTCCCTCCTGCCCAATGGCCCCCGCACATGTGCTTTCTTGCAAGTAGCCTCTTCAACTTTGTTCTTCAACACTGTTCTTCAACTCTGAGGTCTCAAATGTAATGTTACCTCCTCAAGGCTTTCTTGATCCCCACTCCCCAACCTGAGCTCAGTTTGGGGCTCCTATGTGCTCTCTTCACAGCACTTACCATAATTTAAATATTTGTGAGATTAGGTAATACTGGTCTTCCTAGTTAACTATAAATTCCTTGAGCAACATGTTCGCTACTATAACTCTAATGCAATACATATTTCTCAAGTATATGCACTTTATTCTGATGTAACCCCTCAACCCCGACAAGAAGGGATTGTAGATTAGCATATAGACAGACACTCTAAACAAGCCCAAAGTTTAGCTTCAATGTTGTCTGTTTAATCTCCATTAGACATATTCTAGAAAAGAGCTTGAACTTATTTAAAATGGAAATGACAGCCAGCTGTAACCAGGTGAAATGGAACTAAAATGGCACCATTCATACCTGAAAGCAGTGGTTACTGGGAGGGAAGGCTGGAATCTGAAAAGGTACACTCGTCAGTACAGCAGGAGGAATTAAAAGACCTGTATTTGAAATTTGGCTCTGCCTCTTTCTAGCTGTGCCTCTAATGGCAGAGGTATATTTAACCAGAGCCCCAGCTTCATCAACGAGGGATAACGTATCTACCCCATAAGGATATTGCTAGAGTTAAGCGAGATAATGGGTGTAAAAGGTACAAGGCACAACGCTTGGCATACAGAAAACACAATGAATATTAACTGTTATTACTTCTCAGGATGTTAACAGTAAGTTTTCTTTTTATTTAGGCCCTACTGGCCCTCTCTGGGTGGCCTGTGTGTAAATGCAGGGAAATTACAGAAGCCAGTCCCAGCTCTCCAATTTTGCACCCACGGCACACATGGGGTATGAGTTAAGGTAGGCAAAAAACTCCACGAAGTGTCTTACGCTTCATTTAATCTGAAGAATATTACAGACTCTTCGTCTTCAGATATAAGTTATAACGTTACAGAACAAGCAGCGAATTCAACAATTTAAAAACTAAGTGTACACGGTGTTAAATCCTGGCGACAGTCCTCCCAATCTGGTTTTTTAAAAAAGTCATCCCTGCCCCCATTCAGTAGACGTGCACCATGCCATAGAGGAATGTCCAAAACAGGACGTAGGTGAAGAGGCCTCCGATGAGACCTCCTGTAAAGAGCGGTCTTCGTGATTTGAAGTATTTGTTCCACCTCCTTCCCGCTTTGAGAATTAAGAGCAGGGAGAGCAGGACGGAGGCAAGCAGGTAGAAGATGAAGCCGTAGAGGCCGGTGAGGCCGAGGATGCCGGCCGTGGCCCCCGACAGCGCTGACACTGAGGTCCGGCAGTAATCCAGGACAGCGGCGTTGCCTCGCACAGCTGCCTCGCTGATGAACGGCGGCCCTTCCCGCTTGGCCACCACAGCGGCCATCGCACCCGCCGGGGCTCAGCCTCTGCTTTCTCGCGGAGCTGCAGAGGGAACCAAGTTACAAGTGGCCCCGGGAGCCTGGCGAGTTGCGCTCACGCCGCCCCTCCCCCCCGGGACTTCCAAGACCTCCCACCATTCGCGGATCTCGGACCTTCGCGAGACGCAGAGGAGGCTGAGGGTTCGGACCGGCCCTGCCCAGTTTCGTCCAGGTACCTGCAACACGACGGCGGACACAGACACTTAGCGTTCTCTCAGACGGCCAGCGGCAGACAACCTCCCCACGCCATCTTGCGCTGGAGGTTGCTGGGAGGACCAGGTTGCGCATGCGCCAAAACCTCGCTCCCGCCCCCTGACGCGTACGCGGCGGGCTCCCCGAGCACGCTCCACCCCCTCCCCGTCCTTCTGCGCAAGCACAGGGACTTCCGAAAGCTGAACAGCGCTCCGACCGGTGACTGGCTGGGGATCTGCTAACTATTCATGAGGGGGCGGGCCGAGTTGGGTTGCCTTTGTTAACCAAGGAGGGCGCGGCCGCTGGGATTTTCGCTGAGGGCTTCACTGAGCTGCGCTTGGTTGCCAGATTGCGGTCGAGATGTCCTACATCCCCGGCCAGCCGGTCACCGCTGTGGTGGTGAGTGCGCTCGCGGGCTCCTCCTCGTCTTGGCTTGTCCCCACTTTGCAGATAGGTAAACTGACGCCCCAGACAGGTTGACAAAGCGTTGAACCCAGGGCTCTTGCAAACCGGCGCCAGGGCTCTGGTCCCGGCTCTGCCTGAGCGGGACCGCGGTCTTCCCCAGCCAGGCAACAGAGATGGCTGGGACCCAAGCGCCTCCTGAAGACCCTGAACCGAGGCCGGACCCCGCACATTACCGCCGCTGCGTCGGACTCCTTCCTGCGGGAAGGACTGAGGAGAAAGTCCCCAGCTGTGGGAATACCGGGAGAGCGCCCCCTTCCCAGGCCTGAGTCCCCAGCTGAGCAGCCGAGGGGGGCGGGCACCGGGCCCGACGTCCGTGAGTCGCAGCCTCTGGAATGAGGAAGTGCTTCCTCCGCTGCAGCCGACGCCGCCGCCCAGAAGGAAACTTGGGGGGTGGAGATGGCCTGAGCCTGAGTAGCAGCCCAGTATCCCTCCCATCCAGGCTTGCTTGTTCGGACCTTCCGCCGCCCGCTCCAGAGTGAAGGCTCATGCAGTTGGCTCGCTCCTGCTCCAAACTTTCCCCGGATCCCTAGCCCTGGGGCAAAGTCCAGGTTCCTCGCCTGGCACTTCGGGCTAGCTCAGGGCCCTGCCTACAGCTTCCCCCCCCCCCCCCCGCATTGCCTTGTCTTGGGTGCCAGATGCTATTAGACTAGGCAGAGGGAAGAAGGCAGGCTGGGACATTAGACTCAGAAGCCAGTGCCAAAGCTGAATGAAGCCTGGAGGCAAACTCCAAGGCGGAGGTGGGGAAACTGAGTCCCAGAGAGAAGTCTGGTCATGTCCAGGCCTAAAGGAAGTCCTCAGGAAAAACCCAGATCTCTGAGAAGAAATGCCTGCCAGGCACCATTGGGTCAGATGGAAGTCCCAGTCCTGAGGCCATGGGACTTGCCGCAGAATCTCAGATGGGTGTACAGCGGAGCTCCTGCAGTCAGAAGTTGGCAGGGTGTGAAGCTGCTGATAAAGGTGGCATGTGAGTTTGAGCTTAGAGAACGAGCTGTGGCCTGGGAAAGTACATTTCTGGATCTGGGGACAGCTGTCCTAAGCTTCACCCTGGCCGCACCAACCTTGGCTTTCTAGATCCCTAGCTGCCTCAGAGAGAAGGGGCCAGGTTTGCTTCTTATGGAAAAAAGGGGGTGTAGGGGAGGCACCAGAAAGGGGCCATAACCTGCCTGACTTCACCTAGTGAGTCAGTGACAGGGCCTTGTCTTCCAGCCCAAGGGCCTGTACTCCCTTCTGACCCTGAGGGTGGGTCAATGGTGTGCAAAGTTCTGTTTTGGAGGAGGGGGAGCAAGCCTGGAGGAGCTCACACTTTTGGGCACAAGGACCTAGGTCTAGTGGGCCTAGTCATACTTCCTGCTTCCCCTTTCTCCTATTCTGGCAGGTCCGTCCGCAGGCCTTCCTCAAAACTGTAAGACCATGACCTTCCAATTCTTGGGAACACTAGGAACATGTCTGAACATGGTGGGGGTCTGGCCTCTCCCTCTTGTGTTTTGGATTGGGGAAGGGGTGGAGGAGGCTTCCTTCCTGCTTCCTGCCTATCCCACGTAGTTACCATTTTGCGAATGTTAAAACCATTTTCGCTTCTCCTCTGAACTCTGGTTCCATAGGTCCTTCTGCCTTCTGGACACTTGCCTGGGTGGCTCCTGGAACTCCAAAATGCTTCTTCAGGGTCACCAGCTGAGAGATGGTTGTGTTCAGCCAGGCCAGGTGGCTGCGTGTTTCCCTTGACTCCTCTCCACCGTGGGCAGTCCCCAAGTCTGTTGACCTCGTTTTCCAAGTAGTCGTGTTCCCTGGCCTCCACATCCCACCTCTGGGATACACCCGTTCCCCTCCTGACTACCCAAGTGGTCATTCTAGCCTCAAACCTGACCATGACC